AATAAGATTAGTTTGGCATGATCTATTTTTAACAAACCTTTGCTGGCTGCTAGTTATAACTTTGTTTCTAGATGTTCACAGATCTGTTTTTTGATTATTTTTTCCAGTATCTTCCCAGGTATTAAAGTTAGGCTGATTGGTCCATAGTTTTCTAGGTCTGTTCTGCCCCCTGCCCCCCTTTTGATGATGAGAACCACGTCAGCTGTTTTCCAATCCTCTGGTAGTTTCCCAGTGCTCCAAGATTTTTTAAAAATATGGTACAATGGTTCTGAGATAATATCTGCCAGCTCCTTCAGAACTCTGGGATGTAATCTGTCAGCTTCTTGCTATTGTAGTCATGAATTGCACAGGCAATTTAAAAAATTCAGAAAATAAAAATATTAATGAATGATGGTCAGGATGGCTTATCTTGTCACCAATATCAGCAGGATCAGTTTAAGATTCTTAGGAGCAGATGCCGCTATCCTTGTCTACTTGTGGCCTTTTCATAAGTATCTAATTGGCATCTGTGTATATGCAGTGCCATAATCCTTGAAGACATTGCTCATGTTTTGTTCAACTATCAACTACATGCCCACATTAGGCTTAAATACTTATAATCCCTGTTTGAAAGAATAACCCACTGGGATCTGAACTGCAGATGGTCCTTCCTGGACTCTAATATATATATGGTAAGCAGAACTAAGTTCATAGTTCAGACCCATCACATCAAACAGATTGGAGTATCCTGTAAAGCTGATATGTTTATTTGGATGATGATTCTTTGTATTTATCATATATGTATTTTATTATTGTATTTTATCTTATCTATTTTACCCCAGAATTGGATCCTGTATTTTATTTTTTAATATAGCCGTAAAGAAGACTAATCAATTATCTGTTTGTGTCTTTATGGCAGAAAGTGAGGCAAATGTCATTGTGAAAGATACATGAACATAGTTGAAGGTTAGGAAAGTTTGGGGCCTTCATATGATGCAACCGGTGTGCTGCCTTTCCCCATATTTCTTCCCTTATCTTTCTCCAGATACTTTCTCAAGAAGAGACGACCGTAACCCAGAAATTGCACAAATCCTTTCCATTTTGGAGGTATAAAGCAATCAGAGCAAACTTATTTAAAAAATGATCTTAAAAGGACTTTTAAATATTGTATTAGATTAAGGAAAATGTAAAGTCATCTTTGAGTCACATTTGACTCCTGGCAATTCCAGGAAACATGTCTACATAATGTTCTCATCAGCAATATAGAAGTGATTTGCTCCTGTTTACTCCAATATATTTTTCCTCCTCCCAATAAAACATATCCCCCTGGGATTTTCCGGAGGGCTCCCATCCAAATATGGACTAGGTCCAAAGTCAGTTAAATATTGCCACCTGATTGTCAGTATTATTAAAATCCGTCAGAGCCAGATAACACTTGGGTTCACTCATCACACTAAGTCAGTGGTTCTCAACCTTGGCAACTTTAAGCTCTAGGGACTTCAGTTCCCAGAATACTGGCTGGGAAATCCTAAGAGTTGAAGTCCATATAGCTTGAAGTTGCCATGGTTGAGAAACACTTTTAAGCCAGGAATTTAAACTCTCAGTTTATCTAATGAGCTATAGTGTTAGCTGGTTTGGAATGTCATGAAAATCCTTCCTTCCTTCCTTCCTTCCTTCCTTCCTTCCTTCCTTCCTTCCTTCCTTCCTTCCTTCCTTCCTCCCTCCCTCCCTCCCTCCCTCCCTCCCTCCCTTCCTTCCTTCCACAAAGGAAGGACATATAGCTTCTGCTTTAGATAGCAAAATGACTTAGGATGGTCCTGATCAGGGTATAAACCAACTCTCTTGTTTCAGCTCCTTATATCTGCCCTATGGTCCCATTAACAAAAAGCCACCAATGCTGCAAAACTACTACCTATGAATGAGTCAGGGATTCATTCAGCTGTTTGACAATGGATAAGGTGGAAGGAAGCCACTATTTGCCTGTTTATGCAATGGGCACACAAATACCTAGCTTTAGTCCTGGCACAATGAAGAGAAAATGTTGAAATCATTCTTGCCCGTCTGGGCCCCTTCGTTTGCAATGGGCTACAACTCTCACAATTCCTACTTAGTACAGCTAGTGAACGTGTTATGTAGTCCAGCTTTTCGAGAGAGAAAAGGATGCTTCAGTTCGGTACAAATCTGTCTGTTATTTCATACTCTCTATGGGGCTTTGTTCCTAGTACACCACTTTCCCCTCTCCCAGAGATCACTACTTACCGCTTACGAAGTTATTGTCCGTCTTTCCCCCTTTTCTTTCTTTTTTCTCTTTCGGCTCTTAAAGCTCCTTTCCGCAACAGGCGTCGTTCAGTTGCTATGGTCAACAGCCGCCCAAGATTGGCGTTTCCAAGAACGAATGAACATTCTTTACGCTTAACCCTCCCCCTCTTATAGAAAAGAGCCAAAAGCATAGAGCAAACTACAAGTTCCGGCATGCTCTGCTTTAGCGTGCTCATGAACTGTCGGTGTGTAAGAGCGAATCGTGCTCATTCGGCTTTGTTGGGTTCTGAATTCGTTTAAGGTTCAGATCACTGGTTGTAGGTGTGAATGAATGCAGCGATGTTGTTTTCTAGTAATCATTTTCTTCTGTTCTGTTGCCCGCCCTCAGTGTTTTAGGGTATTTTTTTAAAAATGCATTCCCCGACTTTAATTCTTTTGGAACAAAATCTGTCTTCGGATGTATGGCTGACTTATTCCATTACACCGATCTAATCACTTTAATAACTTAATTACACTTTGACTTTACTTTGTCTTCGTTTGTGGAGGTACAATACAGAAGAACTTTCTCAGTACCTAAAGAAGATTTCATTAGAGACGGAGGAGCTCACAAATTGCTACGCATACAGTACAACTACAGGAGATAATTGATGAATGATACATTTGTCCCCTAAAGATTGGCAAAGTCTCTTAAAATTTCTTAACCCTGCAATATGTAGTAATTGTATAACATCAGTAAATTTTAGGACACTTTTTTCTTAGGGCATTTGGTAGCCATAGTAAAGTTCATGGCCCTTACTAACAAGGTGACTATTGTGATGCTCATGAAGCTATTTTCTAAATCCCCTCATAACGTTTGAGTGCCTATTATAAAATTTCTTTTCTATTCAATTAGCACTTGAAACCATCTATATTTAAAAACCACCCAAGACAAAATTATACAACTTAAAAAATGGATGTTGGGAATTTGGGAAATTGAAGTTCCAAAGATATCTCAAGAGCTCCTTTGGAGAACACTGGGTTTATTTATTAAACAAATTTATATAATCTGTTAGTATATGCAACTGGGCTCCAAATTACATTCAGATACAAATGTGAGGAAATTTTTCAGAAATCCTAGACTTAAAATATTTATAATTTTATTGGTAAGAACCAGAACTCTCAATTGGATTGGATTTAGAAAAAAAATGGAAAAACTACTGCGTAACTTTAAAATCCACATTGTGCAACCAGAGTACAGAATGTATGGATTGTAATTCACAGGTCTTATAATAACTATAGTTTTCAAGCATAAAATTATGTGTACTATTCTGTTATATAAATTAGCAAATGTGTCCTTAGTCTTTGCTATCATCTGAACACACAAAAGCTGTAGCAAATCTAACAGCATGCCAGTCTACACAATTGATTGCACAAGTAGACTGGAAGGAGGTGGGTGGCACATAAATCTAATAAACAAGCAAATAAATAAATCCCAATCCAAACAGATTATATGCCCAGTTCTGGGTTGTTGATGACTTATTGGATCAGTATTCTGCTTGAAGTGAGCCTTTGTGCATCAATGTGCAATTTTTAACTCTGCTAGGATTCCAGATTGAATGTTTTTATTGGCTCTTTGGTACAGAAATGGGTTTGGTTTAATGTGATAATCCCAAGAAAATAATAGTAATTTCAATATAACATGCCTTCCATTATCATTCAGCAATCATTATGAAATCTAGCTCCAAGGATCTGAAATAAAATAAAATTGAGAGGTCCTGGGTGCTCTCTGAGCTTGCTTGTTTTCTTGCGGATGTTTCATTACCCTAACTACCATTAGGTAACATCAGTGCTAGTAAGGAGTGCTGTTTGCTGTTGTTTATATTCTGGTGTCTTGCCTGTCTGGGTGGGTAGGGGCGGTCTTGGGATTCTTTGGTTGGGCTGTTTACTAATGGGTCTGTGGCAGTTTCTTGATTGGGGTATTGCTTACTTGATTGTTGGTCTGAAGGTGACCTTGGACTTAATCTATGCTGATCTGAGTGCTGATTACTGGTGGAGAAGTGCTGGAGTCTTTTTCTGTTTTGGGTTGGTTGATTGTCTCTTTTGCATAATCTATAGATGTTGTTAATGTCTGTTTCTACTGATGGCTGATTTGTCAGAGTGTCAGGCTTCTAGAAATTTCCTGGCATTTTTGGATTTGGCCTGTCTAGGATAGTCATATTATCCCAATTGAAACTATGGTTAAATCTGTCTATATGTTGTGAAATTAAAGAATTTTCATCATGCCTTTTGACTGACAGTTGGTGTTCATGGATGTGTTCTGCCAGTCTTCTGCCTGCTTGTCCTACATAGTGGTTGTTGCAGTTCTTACATTGTATGTTGTGGATAACTTGTTTTTTCTTCTGGGGTTGCTGGGTCTTTGGATTTACTTAGAATGTTTTGAAGGGCTTTAGTTGGCTTATGTGCTACACTGATTCTGTGTGGTTGTGGTAGTCTATTTGCAGTTTCTGAGATATTCTTGATGTATAGCAGTGTAATTCTTTTTAGAGTTTGTGTTGGTTGTGCTGTATTGGGTTGAGTGGTCAAGGACTTTTTGATGAAATTACGTGGGTACAAAATGGATAGTTGCTTGAAAGCGTACTCCTTTGTTGTAGATTGTGTGGGTCTACCAACACAGAGTTATAGGAGGGAGATTTCTCAATGCTTATAGCTACATTCAAAATCTGGTATATCAGGTCTTCTTCTGGAACTCCGCCCCAAAGTCCTGTTCTGGCAACACCATTCATAACAGGCCGCTCGTCCCTGACTCTGGTCTGAAGAGAGGAAAAGGCAGCTTGCGAAATGATCGATTTAGGACGATGGAGAGCAGATCCCACCTTCTCCCCCAAGCAAACCGTCAGGCCAGGCGCGCTTTGCGTCCTGGCGGGGCGGCTAGCCTCGGAGCCCATTTGCCTTTGGCCGAACAGGAGGAGGAGGCGGCTGAGGCAGCGGTAGCGGCTGCAGAAGCTGTCCTAGGTCACGTGGCGCCGGCGCAGAGGAGCAGCTTTTCTCCCTCCTGCGATCTCCGACTGCCGCTGCCTTCGCTCGGCTCCTGGGGATGCTTCCCCAGGCACGGCTCTGGCAGCGGAGTTGGGTGGAAGCCGCCACGTCCTGCGTCGCCTCGCCCTTGCCTTGCCGCGAGGCTCAGGTGACTCTTCTGCCTGGCGGCGATGTAAGGGAACCCCGGTGCTCGCTCGCTTGCTTGCTTGGAGAAACCAGCTTCACCTGCCGGGGCTGAAGTAGAATTAAAAAAAAAAAAAAAAAAAGCACCTCCCCTCCCCGGCTCTAGGCAGGGGGTTCAAGGCGCGCAAGGGCGCCCTGGCACGAGCGGTGCCACTTTCTTTCGGAAAGGTGAGTCTGGGGAGGGGGCTATCACAGATGCTTATGTCCTTCCTTTGGGTGGTGGGAGGAAAGCTTCCCGAGCAGAGAGAGGAAAAAATGGGCTGCCTCTGGTGAGATCCGATCGCGCTTCTGAATGATGGAACTAGGCCAGGGAGAGGGTCCCAGCCGTGTTTTTAAAACAGACTCTTAGGGAGAAGGGACTTGCTTTTCTGTGGTGCCCCCCCCCCCGAGAATCTTTGCTCTTAACCTCAAAGGAGGAAGCAGTAAAATTCCAGGACTGAGACTGAAAAGCTATTCTCCCTCTTAGGTGGGGAATTTTTGAGTATTTTTTTTAATAATTATTATTTAATACTTATGGTATTTATAGCATCCCTTTTTTCTCAAAAGGGATGCTTCTGTACTTGGGACTATCTCTTAAGTTTGCGCGTGGGCACACACACACACACACATGCTTTTCTGCTGTTCCATGAAGGGAATGATTTTTCTAAAATTGCACATATTGAAGTATATATGCATATGCCGCCTAAATGTGAAAATGGCATTCTTTTTTCCTTTCAAAATTATAGTTTCACTCAAATACCAATGTGTATAGAAGTGATCAATTAACTGTTAAAACCTAATTCATCAGTGTAAGCCTATGCTGACTTAATGGAAATATTCATTACTCTAATTAAGGTTAAGTTCTTAGGTGTGCATTGTTTTAGATTCCTCCTTAGATTGGTATTTTTAAAAGACTTTTTGAATTAAAAAATCCCTTCCCATTCAACCGAAAAGTTATATGAATATATTGCTGTCTTATGTTTTATTGTAGAGGTAATATTAAATCTATATGCCCCTTTTTTGTAGATTTCTCTTTAAGTAATTGGTATTACATTCGTTCAACTGGACAACTTAGGAGAGTTCTTAAATAAAAAAACACCCGGATGATGTTAAAATATTTTTCTTCCCAATCAGATTAAAACTGTTACAGAGTTATTGTTGCTTTATGCTATATTGTAGAGATAATGTTAATTCTGTATGTCCTCATTTTAACGAATAGTTATGCAGATGAGTCATGGCTATTTATCATTCCCACAAGCATGATCACGCTGCATATTTACAAAGACAAAAACCCCACATCTTTCTGGAGATTATTTTTTATTTGAAGGATATTTGAATAATTTTCAAAATTGTGGAAAAATATAAAATGTTTGCATATCTTAGTGAATAAACAAAAGTTTTCTAGAATTTTGTTTTTAACTTCAACTGAGTGGTGCAAGGTTAATCAGAAACACTTTTTCAAATTCAACTGGCTTTTTAATTTTAGCTTATAGAACAATTCAGTTTCTTGAAGTGGATTTTAGTTACAGAGTATGGTATAATCCATTAGTAGCTAGAATAATTGAGACTCGGTGTCAGAAATTTAAATTCTGCTTCTGTGAGACACTCATCTAGTAGTGTTGACAAAACATAGATGCCCAAATAAATCTACCATGCTAATTTATTTTATAAAGCTATTCTGAATTCCTTAAATACAAACAAGTGCATGGAAAATATACTAATTGTATTGAATTGAAAAATCTGGACAACTAAATCAAAAGTTTCAACAAGTGTCTTGTCTAGTTGAACAGTGGAGTAGGGATTACTTAGTATTTGGTACTTAGTACCGTACTTGGATGGAAGTCTGTGAAGAATCTCATGTATAGACTAGTTAAAAAAATCCTGTAAGGCAGTGGCAAGACCAATTCCATATTGTAGCCAAGCCCTCCGCCTCTTATGAGTCTACCTATGTTATCATCAAGAATAACATTCAACTCAAGGACATGATTACATTACTGGCTTCCTATTCTTTCGAGATTTTTCTGAATTCTGATCACTTTCAAATGATGGTTCCAAAAATGGATTCTGGGACTTTATATTCACTAATTGACTCTATGCGTACAGATACTTCCTCTGGCTCTAATTTGACAATTTAAGGGTAAATAAATAAAGAGAATGTTTAGCATTATATCTGATAAGTGGACTGCAACATTTATATAAATACCTTGGGATCAGACCCAGTTTTGCATGTGTTTTACTGTACATTGTGAGATTGTAAGCATCCTTATTGGGCTGAGTATTACAGGATCAATATGACTTTAATAAGCATATAGGAATAGACAGTTACCTTGCACAAATATTATAGGTCCCACAAAATGATTTCAGTTTTATATTTCAGTATAAATATTTTTAAACTTCTTTAGAATGAGCAGAAAATCAGTTCTCGTTTAACTGCTGGTATCAAATGAGATAACTTATAATGATTTTCCTCCCATTTATCTTCATATATCAACATACCTCATTGATATAAAAAAATTCTGACATGGATAGGTTTTGTGTTTTTGCTTATCTACTGATGTGATATTGTGTATTGTTGCTTTTTGACAGAGGAGATGAATTGAAGAATCTGCCACATAATATAGATCCTAGATGGGGTGGGGGGAGGGAAGGGAGATACTGCATTATATATTAGCTTCTTTGTCCTCCATATACATAGGAACCTGTTCTCCAAATATTGCTTCTTTTGTTTTTCATAGCAATACCAATAGTGCAGTTATATGCACATACAGTACTCAAGAGTAAATTCATTGAATTTAGTTAACCTGGTTTTCTAGTATCTTCAGTATTGAAGATGCTGATAATATCTTGTCATCAGTCTCCTACTGATTGTCTTTCTACCCAGATATGAATGGGAGAAAGCACCATTGTTCAAATGAGAAGCCTGCCTCTGAGCACTTACCTAGGAATGGAGCTGCACCTACTTTTAATGTGTTGCCCTCTACCAAAAACTTGTGACATATTAAGGCCAATGTTGCAAATTCAGCACTAAATAATTCACATGCCTTCTGTGAAGGAGGGGATCAATAGAACTAGAAGAAAGGTCAAACAGATTCTGTGACGTTTATATTCTAAGAGCAAACAGAATTTCTAGGGTTCCTAATACTAAGAAGCCCGGAAAGTTGTTTATGGAAGTCTCCCAATGTGCTAAAGTTTGTTGACTCCCAGCATTTCAAAAAGTTGGGTTGAAAAATTGGTTTGTTCTGTGGCTTTTCTCTGATTTGTATGAGACTAATAGAATGGTGTGCCATATAATACATATGTCTTGAAGAACACACAATTATTCATTTATTGGGCTTCTGGACCACTCCGAAGCCATGATTCTCAGCCATTACATGGTGTTGCAGAAATCAAGCACAAGAGGCAAGGATGAATGAGCATGTAAGAGAAAAAGAAATTTTAAAAAATATTTTTTTCCTGCTTTGATAAATAACCCTTGAAACAATATCCAACTGTAAAATATAAACAGGAAAACTGATATACAAAACAATGTGTTTATGGAAAATAACTTGCTTATGTTTGCTTCTAAAAATAGTGCTTTCTGTGACAGGAACATGAGAACTGTGGGAGAACTCATTTTTCTTCACTGTTAAAATCTCGTTTACTGCTATGATTAGCTGATGTAATAGCATCAGCTGGCTATAACTTAGCATGGAATAATAATAATAATAATAATAGTAATAATAATAATAAAGTTGGAAGGGACCTTGGAGGTCATCTAGTCCAACCCTCTGCTCAGGCAGGAAATCCTATGCCATTTTAGACAAATGGCTGTCCAGTCTCTTCTTAAAAACTTCCAGTATTGGAGCATTCACCACTTCTGGAGGCAGGTTGTTCCACCGGTTAATTGTTCTAACTGTCAGGAAGTTTCTCCTTAGTTCTAGGTTGCTTCTCTCCTTGATTAGTTTCCATCCATTGCTTCTTGTCCTGCCTTCAGAAGCCTTGGAAAATAGCTTGACTCCCTCTTCTTTGTGGCAGCCCCTGGAAGGTGCTGTAATACTTGTAGTTCACAGATGAACCTCTCACTCATTGTTAAAGGAGACAATCACAGACTGAATTTTAGATGTGCTCACAAACACATGTACAGTATAGTATTTTTGGTTAATCGTTCCAATATTGCTAATGTTTTTCTGTTCCAGCAATGGAAAATCCGGAAGTGCTTGTAAGCAGCTGCAATAACCAGGATGATGAAAACTTATACAGTGCAAAGCATCATCCATCAATGTGCCGGCTTCTGGAAGATCAGTTGAGAAGGAAACTTAAATTTTTCTTTATGAATCCCTGTGAAAAATTCTGGGCCCGAGGGAGGAAACCATGGAAGCTTGGCATACAAATTCTGAAAATAGCCATGGTTACTATCCAGGTGAGGTAGAGAGCTTCAATACAATTATTTTTTTTAACTCACTAATTTTTAGTTACTGCAATACAAATTCAAGAAGTTATAACCAGTTAAGTGGCAACCCCTGATTTATTGTCGCTTTGAGAATTATGTTTTTATTTGTATGCTACTTGGAACTTTCAGACCTTGAGACTTAATAGAGGTAGCCCTCAACTTATAACCATTTGTTTAGCAACCGTTTCAAGTTATGATGGCATTGAAAAAAGCAACTTATGATTGGTTATAGCACTTAACAATCATCAAGCATCCCCATGGTCACATGATCAAATTTGGGCGCTTGGCAACCAGCATGTACTAATGATGGTTGCGGCATCCTAGGGAGATGTGATCAGCATTTGCAATTTTCCCAGCTGGCTTTCAACAAGCAAACTCAATGGGGAAAGCTGGACTTGTTTTGCAACCTCATAATTCAATTAATAACTGCAGCGATTCATTTAACAACTGTGCCCAAAAAAAGGGTTATAAAATCAGGTGCAACTCATGTAATAACTGCCTTGCTTAGCAACAGAAATTCTGGTCACAATTGTGATCATAACTTGAGGATCACCTGTAAGTATTGAAATGACCCCCAGTGTTCTGGCATCCTGAATATTTTGGAGGAAAATATTTTTGTCAAGCATTTAGTAATATTATACATACACTCACCATATGTTCTCCATCTGTGTTGTATAAGAACTTTAATGAATGCCAACTCCACATAGCTACCTCGTTTAGGAACTATGGAACTTTTACTTCAAATATCTAATAAGTGCTGAATTGGGGTAACTGACAGAATATCAAGTTTACAATTGCCGTTTTGTTTCATTTCATTTCGTTATTATATATGGCAATTCTCAACCTTCTACTAAATGCTCATTGCTCACCAACTATGAGGAAATTGTCTCTCGGTGTGTTCAGAATACAATATGAAAATGTCCAGTATGAACTATACTAACAGTATCCAATTCAGCAAACCAGATCCATGACCAAAAAATAAAATACAGCTGTAATATTGAACTGGGCTACATTATAAGTGTAACAAGAACATAATTATGTAAATATAGGAGAAGGCTTTGATCACTGAATGAAAATGACATTTGTAAAACAGGAGGGGATGCTAGCCAGCTCTACTTTTTTATATGCTCAGTTGTTGATTTATTTACAAGATGTCTTTTTTACTCTTAGAGTAAGATGAATCTACCAAGGGAGGGAGTAGGGAATAGCAGAAGGGGTAGAACTAGTTAAGAATGCTCCACCAGCTTGTCAGAATTTTTGAATTATTGAGTATTTTAGCCGAATTATTCCTTTTCTGTTGATACTGATATTAAGTTCATACAACATATGAGTTCCACATTTAATGAGCTGTAATTATCAATGAGTTCCACATTAAATAAGCTGTAATTATCAATGTGTGATCAACTATTTGTGCAGAAAAGTTTACATTATAGACTGCTAATATGTAACTTTTGGGGGGGCGGGGATATTTTTAGCTTGTAGTTTTTGGGCTAAGTAATCAAATGGTGGTTGCATTTAAAGAAGAAAACACGGCATCCTTTAAGCATCTATTCCTGAAAGGTTATATGGACAGCATGGATGACACCTACGCAGTGTACACACAAGCTGAGGTCTATGACCAGATCTCCTTCACAATAAACCAGGTATTTTTTATATATAAAAAGTACCGTATCCTTATATTGTATGAAAGTAAAATTATACATTGAATTTAAACTAAGCTTAAAAAAAGCCAAGTCAGTATAAGTGAACAGATATGAGTAGAAGGAAAATCAGATTGGTTTCCTGTACTGTATAGCTTGCATTGGCTCTAACAAGTCAAGAGATGCAGACCTTTTAATTTCATGATAGTCTCATGAGGTTTAAAATTGGTTCATTTGAACCTTAGTCTTTGTAATTCCATTCATGAGGTCGATAAATCTGAAAAGCAGAATGTTTCATCACAAACATCCTTGCTTCTCTTGCCTGTCTAATTAGTTCAGTTTTAATTATCAGGCAGATCCATTAACTGGTTGTCCCTTGTCATTTAGTTCTTACAGCTGCGTACTATTTCTGTTGGGAATCATGCCTATGAAAAGAGAGGAACCGAAGAGACACCCATGGCAATATGTCAGTACTTCTACAAGAGAGGAATTATCAGCCCTGGAAATGACACTTTCGATATTGACCCAGAAATTGAAACTGGTGATATACTGAACTACTCAAATCAGATAGATTGTTTCTGTGTGTGTGAGAGAGAAAAAGGAGAATGGGGGTGAGAGAAAGAGAGGTGAAAGAGGTGTGTGTGAGAGAGAGATAACTTGAGGAAGGATGTGTTTAAAAAGCAAATACATGGTAATTTCCAGTAACATTGCAGTATAATGGATAGGTACTTCAGATATTTTATTAGGCACGCTGTACAAGTACTAGAGATAGACCTCACTTACCAATTGCTGCATTCAGCAGTGAAAAAGTAATTTTAAGACCCGTCCCTGAATCTGCAGCTTGTTGCAGCCTCCTTGCAGTCACACAATCACAATTTGGGTGCTTTGCAACTGGCATGCATTTATAATAGATGCAGCGTCCCAGGATCATGTGATTCCCATTTGTGAACCTTTGCAGCTGGCTTCCAACAAGCAAAATCATTGTGGAAGATGGCAGGAAGTCGCAAATCATGGTCACATGACATTTCACTTAACAACATGAGGATTTTTGGTTAATGACCACAGTGGAACTGACATTCTGAGCATGGCACAGTCACGTGATGTTTACATAGTCACTTTGCGACTATATCACTTAGCAGCTGTGGTTGGACTACCTGTACATTAGAGTCTTAGAATAGAATAGACCTTGGAGGTCTTCTAGTCCAGCCCCCTGCTCGAGCAGGAGAACCTATACCATCTCAGACAGGTCTCTTCTTAAAATCTCCAGTGATGGAGCGCCCACGATTTCTGAAGGCAAGCTGTTCCACTGATTAATTGTCCTCACTGTTAGGAAGTTTCTCCTTAATTCCAAGTTGCTTCTCTCTTTGGTCAGTTTCCAACCATTGTTTCTTGCCCTGCCCTCTGGTGCTTTGGAGAATAGTTTGATGCCCTCTTCTTTGTGGCAGCCCCTCAAATACTGGAATACTGCTATCATGTCGCCCCTGTTTCTCCTTTTCTTTAGGCTTGCCAAACCCAAGTCCTGCAGCTGTTCTTCATATGTTTTAGTCTCCAGGCCTTTGATCATTTTGTCTTGTTTAAGTCATTATGAAATCTGCAGTAGTGATGTGAGTACTTCACTTAATTCCTTGCCCCATGTCACTCAAACGATATCAGCTTCAGTCAGACCTAATATGTTCTGTACCTGTCTTAATTTCCAAGTGACCTGATAACCCTGCTGATAAAAATTGCTGACTCAGGGGCCAGTGTGAATGACTCTATTGTAATTGTATCTGAAGCAGGTTCTTCCCTAACTATTGAGGAGAGTTAAGGGTGCATCTACTTGCAAGATACTGTAGTATAATCAAAATCGAAGCTGATTGCCGTCCCTCTTTCAGAAAGCGGCATGCACAGAAGTGTCTTGCCAACTCAACAGTGCAGACAGACATCAGTCATGTAATCTCAACACTGATTGGTGATTCAGGCTCAGGGTGAGATTTACTATTATGCAAAGTGAGACAGTCACCTCAAGCAGGAGATGTGGGGCAGAAAGCATTGTTAACCTGTTGAATGACAGAAATGTTGCTGTGTGAACTATTTTGCTCTCCTACCCTGTTGCCCTCAAGTATGGAAGAAAATGTCATCTTAAATGCACTTACGAATCCAGTTAGCTTGTGTACCTTAGCTGGGCAAGGTGCCATTCTTTAATTCATTTGCTTCAGGCAAATACTGAAATATCTTGGCTGACTCTGCCCTGCCTTTCAGGCTGTGCAGCACTGGGACATCGTTTTGGAGTTTGGAAATAGTGACATAAATAATGATCTGCGTTAGTGAACTATTCTAGTGAACATATGTGTACAACATTTCTGAACAAAGCCAAAGGCTGAATTCTGTAAGGACAGCTTAACTCAAACTTATTGTGTTTCAAAGATATTAAAGGACTGTTGAAAGACTGAGGTTTTTTTTTCTTGATATATGTGTTTGCAATTACATGAACCAATATGTAACATATAAAAGTAATTACATTATAATTATAAACTTTTTGAATTACTATTTCTTTATTTTATTTAGATGGAAGTAACTTATAATTTCATTGAAGTACCATTCCCCAGAGATAAATAGAAGAGCATGTAACCATAGAGATAACATTCTAATTCTATACTTACTGACTATGGGTCTATTATAAAATTTCCGTTTTGAATTTATTTTTAAGGAGCAGATATTTCCAGGGATTCTTCATCAAATAAGAATCCACAAGGCAAGAAGTTCAGTAAATGTATACATTAAATCAATAAAAAATGTAGCTGTTTTTTTCTTTGTATGAACAAAGATTTTACTTCTCATATTATTTAGATAACACTACTAATGACCAGACTGGATTCATTTCCTTATTACTGATTTTCTGTCTTCTGCAGCTTATGAAATGTTGATTATTTTCCATATAAACCATCTGTCTTCCCACAGAGTGTCTTTATGTGGAGCCAATACTACCTCTGGAAAATAGTACACTGAGAAAGATCCCTTTCAATTTCACTTTAGACTTCCATAGGTGAGGAAAAAAAATAAAAGTTGCTAGTATTCTTGAATATTTTTGGTAACGGTGAAATAAAGCTGTAGTCTCTGTTCCAGACTTGTGACTCTGACACTCATGTTCAAATTGAAGGCCATTAATCTCCAGACCATTCGTCAGCATGAACTCCCAGACTGCTACGATTTCACGCTAACAGTAAGAAGAAATGTGAAGCCCTTGGCGCTTTCTGAGCTTGGCTGTTTATTTGCAAATAAATTAGGTAGCATCATGAGCAGAAAAGCAAGTTAAAAAAAAGTTTGAACTCCTGCTGAAGATTTGTAATTAGTCTTTTTCTGAAGGGCAGGTTTGGATGGGAGAAATGGGTCTAGAATAGATGGCGTCAACTTCTTCTTAAAGTGGACTGTTGCAGTATATGTAGTAGCAACTTAGAAATAGAGAATGAAGTGAAATTATGAAGGTGAATCTATCTCAAGAGGTAGGCACCAGTGAATTATTGCTACCAGAGATTTGCTTGCCCACAGCTGCAAATATCCATTCAGTAATTTACCTTTTTTCCTTTTAGTACGTTGAAAACATATTTCTGTATAGTCTTAGCTTTTTGAATTGGGTTAACAATATTATTAATACTTTTGTTTATGCATTTAACTATATTCTAATTGTGCATTTTAAAATTTGTTTCTATTTGTTTTTTGTTGATGGTGGCTGGTGATTATCTTGAATACTCCTCAGACGAAAAAGTGCAATAAAACCCAAATAGTGATAAGAATAGCAATATTTCTAAAACAATATTAAAAAGATGGAGAAATTGGGTTATGTTCTCTAACAGTTTTGTTATGTTTTGTTCCAGGGTTGTTCAAATATAGTCTTCATTTTATTTCTCTATCTGATTTTTAAATTGCTTAGATTTTGGGAAGAATGGTACACTAACAGAACTAAATGTATAGGCAAATTCAACCTATCTGAATTAGTGAGGGATAGAAGTGTTTAGAAATAATAATAATAGCATCTTTTCTACCTCCACAATATCTACAGATAGTATTTGATAACAAAGCTCATAGTGGAAGAATTAAAATAAGCCTAGACAATGATATTGCCATCAAGGAATGTAAAGACTGGCATGTTTCTGGATCAAGTAAGTTTTTTTAAAAAATCATACTTCGGTTATTACTTATTTAGTGCCAAAATATTAGGATTTTACTGAAGGGCCTAGTGATGCATGAAGTTAAATACAGTATTTGCTATAATCTGCAGTAACCGTACTTTTTAAAGTGTGTATCAAATGAGAATGCAATTTGAATGTGAGTGTATGTTACATCATTTCATCGTTAAAGTTTCTTTCTACATAGTTAATATTTACATTATTTACACTATAATAGAAGGGAATTCCTCACAATGGGAAATTTGCCCCAAATGCAAATACTAACTTGAGAGGAAGGGTTCTCTTTAATTACTGAAAGGTGTGAAGCATTCATTCTTTTTGACTGCTCTGAACCCCTTAATTATCCACCTCTCCCTTTTTCAATGACATGTATTGAAAGATTAAATAAGATGGAGGCCTCTCCTCCATTATTAGCACTCTCTCAAGGCAATTTCATGAAGAAAATTCCCCTACAGACACAAATAAGTATGTGTCTTATGAGATATCAGGTTAATTATTATGCATAGATAAGTAAATCAATCTTTTTTCCCTGCAGTACAGAAGAATACCCACTACATGATGATCTTTGATGGTTTTGTCATACTGACATGTCTTGCATCACTGGTTCTCTGCACACGATCTGTAATTAAAGGAATTCATCTACAAAGGGTAAGCTTATGTTTGTCAGTGTCTCCTAATAAATGTAATTGCAGCTTCTCAACAGCAATTTCTCTTTTCTTGCCTACTCACGTACCCTAGGAATTTGTGACTTTTTTCCAACATCACTATAAGAAAGAAGTATCTTTCTCTGATCTGATGGAATTTGTCAATGGATGGTATATCATGATCATAATTAGCGACCTTCTTACCATAATTGGTTCTACATTAAAGATGGAGATACAAGCTAAGGTAAGTGGCTTGCATGCTGATTAGGTGACCTATGTTTTGGAAGTCCCAACTGAAATCTTATTGGCCAACCTGAATTTCTTATTTTCATACTCCAGTTGAGTCTTCAACTGGGGGAAATGATCAGACTGAGAAAACTGCTGCTCCAGAGAAGGGGTTTTTCTAGCTGTATATTTTATCTATCCACGGTAATGGCATTGTAAATTAAGAATGAGCCGTATCTGTGCATATCGTTAAAAGTCTATTCATTTGTTGTGTAGCTTGCTTGTGCTTTCTGTCCACCAGGAAGCAGCCCTCTGTAATTTTTTATCCCAATTTTTTAATGTCATAAGGCAGTGATGGCGAACCTTTTAGAGACTGAGTGCCCCAAAACTGGCCCCTCCACCCTCCTGCCCCGCTCCCCCTCCATCCTTGCCCCGCCTGCCCACAGGACCACTCACTGCCTCCAGGGCTCGCTGCAAATCACTCAGGCAGCCCAGCAGCGCTATGGCGGCCACACCCTCTGCCTGCGCCCTGCAGCATCAACTGTGCAGAATGGGGTGTGAGGGCAGAGTCTTGTCTATGCTGCCTGGCTGCTATGTCCTTGGCCGCGCTGCTCCGCGTGGGCCACGCTCAAGGGCGAGTCTCCTTCAGGGTGGTTGCTGGAGAGGAGGGGGTCGCTGGGGGAGGCAAGGCTGGGGCAACAGCACATGTGCCCACAGAGAGGGCTCCGAGTGCCGCCTCTGGCACCCATGCCATAGGTTTGCCACCACTATCATAAGGTATACCCACCTTTCAGGGATGGTCTTGTCTATCTGCTAATCCAGCAAAAAATATTTATTTATTTATTAAATTTATATGTCACCTATCTCAATGTCAAGTGACTCTTGACAAAAGTGAAAAAAATATGGTATCCACAAGTTTTAAAATGAATATGAAGGGTGTTTTTTTCTGGGCATCTCACCTGAAATGCAGTCAGTGTAACTTATTGAACATAATCTTAATTTTCATGTAGAGTCTGACAAGCTATGATGTCTGCAGTATCCTCTTAGGAACTTCCACCATGCTTGTGTGGCTTGGAGTGATCCGCTACCTCAGCTTCTTTCAGAAGTATAATGTAAGGATCTTCTGGGACCTTCATGCCCTTGGTATTTATTTCTGTTATTATCTGGTGGTACTGAATACCTTTGGAAAGACTAATGAGCATCTCTGGGTTTTTGTTGGGCCTTGTTTTTCAGCTGCTTATTTTGACTCTCCGTGCAGCATTGCCCAATGTCATTCGATTTTGCTGCTGTGCAGCTATGATTTATCTGGGTTATTGCTTCTGTGGCTGGATTGTGCTGGGCCCATATCATGCTAAGGTACTGTGACTGGGATGTTTGTGTCTAGTTTTGTATCCGAAGTGTCTTGCACAAATGTTAACAAAATGAGCATGCTGCCAAGATATCTGAAAGGGCCAATTTATCTCTTTAGTTATATAATTATACATTCTCACCAGAATATGGAATTGTCATGTATAAGTATATATTCTCTATTATCTGAGTCATTGATGCAGACATTCATAAAATATTGTAATATCCAGAGTTTTTCAAGGTCTGTTATTGAGTAAAACACATAACATTTCTTTGCAGTTTACTATATTTGGTCAGTATCTTTTAAACAACTTAAACAAAAATGAAAATAATTTTGTTTTGTCTGTTTGATCCTGAATATTTGTTCTCTTCTAGTTCCATACCTTGAATATGGTTTCTGAGTGTCTTTTCTCTTTGATAAATGGAGATGACATGTTTGCTACTTTTGCAAAAATGCAACAGAAAAGCTACCTGGTATGGCTATTCAGTCGGATCTACCTCTACTCTTTCATTAGCCTCTTTATCTACATGGTTCTCAGTCTCTTCATTGCCCTAATTACAGATACGTATGAAACAGTTAAGGTACGTAGACGTTTACTATAGAATGTTATGTTTAATTTTTTAAATGTGAATTTCAGAAAGTTCCGAAATAGTTTTCTGAATATCAGATGATTTTGCTCATTGAATTAGTCTTGTGTGCATACAGAGATGACAACAACAACAACAACAATAATAATAATAATGTTGGAAGGGACCTTGGAGTCCCTTCGAGTCCAACCCCCTGCTCAGGCAGGAAACCCTATACCATTTCAGACAAATCGCTGTCCAGTCTCTTTGTAAAAACTTCCAGTGTTGGAGCATTCACAACTTCTGGAGGCAGGTTGTTCCACTGATTAATTGTTCTAACTGTCAGGAAATTTCTCCTTAGTTCTAGGTTGCTTCTCTCTCTGGTTAGTTTCCATCCGTTGCTTCTTCTCCTGCCTTCAGGTGCTTTGGAGAATAGCTTGACTCCCTCTTCTTTGTGGCAGCCCCTGAGATATTGGAATATTCTTCACCTTTGCAGGAATTCAGCATGGCATCCTGTCATCATCATACAAATGACAAGGAGCTCTAATAACACCATGTTTACTGCAAGTAAGAAAAAAAGGACCATTTGCATGATGACGTCATGATGCAGTGTCATCATTTCTTCCATGCTCGGAGTGAGGAAATTTTTGTGTCGAAATCTTGTTTGTTAGCATGGTGGGACTGGTTCTAAAGAATGACCAAGACTGAGAATTAAGACTGTAACCTGTTGCTTAATTTCCCAGTTCTACTTAATCTGAGCTGTTACATTTAATTTCCTTGGGCAAGAGGACATGTACTATGATGACAATTCTTTCTCCCTTCCATTGTCTATAATATGAGGAAACTTCTTCAGAAGATAGTTTAGAGACAACACATCTGTCAACAGGTGCCCCAACTTCCTAATGTCCTCTGTAGACCCTAAACTGAATACAAAAAAAATGAAAAGCCATAAAGCACTCTTCCTGAGCACCCGACATAAGAAGACCCCAGGATCAAGACAAAATTTTAAGTTAACGTTACATTTCAATTGAATTACAAATGACATTTAATTAAATACAGCTCCTATGACTACTCCCTCTCTATGCATTTAATAACTTCCTTAGCAGCCATCAGCACCTAGCTAACTTACAATTTGACAAAGCAGGTTTGGCTCTGGTTAGCTTTCATATTGGAGACCACTTGAAAAATCCAACTCTGTGGGGGGTTGAAAAACCATCCTGGAAGATGGCAGAACCACATCACTTTCTTACCATTCCTGAGCAATAAAACTGAATGGATGTATCCGTGTAAATCACAAGGAGCTGGAGAAAATGGCTTTGCTTTTGGATTTCAGAATTTTCGTTTTCTCTCATATTAAAAAGTATAATTTGGCAGCATCATTTGGAAGGGTCTGCCTGGAGTCTTGAAGCCCCAAGTTGTGTTCTCCTGCCATTTCTACCAAGACTTGAAGCCAGCTAAAGTCCACCCTAACCTCCAATCTTATGTAGAATCTTGGGGGAAGGAGGATGACATACACAGAGTTCAAGAACCTCACTTTTCTACTTATCTAATGGCTTCTAATTCACCAGGAGAAACCCTGTCTGACCTTCCTTGTTTTTCCTCACCAAATACCTTTTTAAAAATTGTGTTTTTCATAGCCACTTAATATCCACCTGTGTTGTTCTACATAACAACTTTTTTTTTTTAGCATTACCAGCGTGAAGGCTTTCCAGAGACAGAGCTTCATTCATTCATAGCCCAGTGCAAAGATCTGCCAAACTCTGGAAGATACAGATTAGAAGAAGAGAGTCCTATAAATATCTTCTGCTGTTGTAAAAGGTTAGTGACTAAAGGACTGGGTGACAGCCACGTCATCTGATAGCTTGTTTACCCCCTCCCTTTTTTTTCTTCAAAGAGTACAAAGCTGAAGTTGGCTTCTTTGAGAACATAAAGCAGGTTAATAGGATATCAGTCTTGAATCCAGTGAAACTGTAGGTACTTCCACATAAGCCTGGTGATCCAGCACTGGTTTGAAAGCTGCTCTGGATTCTCATGATCCCTCAATGTCAAGCTATGTTAGAAAGCTGAGCTGCTTTATTTCCTGCTTTGGTAAATGGAATAGCTTTTTTTCCCAAAACATTCTGCTTTCATTTCCCCATTGGAGGAGTTCATACCATAACTTTTCTTCTGGCTCTTGAGCAGAAATGCTGACATATCAGCTCTGCAACTCTTCTCAGAAGCCTAGAGGAATGGAGCAGGAGTTCAATTAAATTCAGATTTCTCCTTTTCTTCCTCTGGATCTGCTGGCTTGTATAGTTTTGTTAGATACTAGTTCTTTTCTTTTCTCTTTTCATCTTTCCCTTTTTAGTGTAATCAGGATGATGGGACTTTCTCTTTTTGGAGCAGGGCAGTGAGGATGATAGATAGATAGATAGATAGATAGATAGATAGATAGATAGATAGATAGATAGATAGATAAAGTGAGTGTAAAGTGAGCAATTGTGATTATCCCCACTAATTCTTTATTTTTTTAACATTAAGATTTCTAACCTTGCCCTTCTTATTCAGGGTGACTTATTTTATTAAAATTATTTTCTTTAAATTAATAGATCTTGCTTGTTCTATAAAATGGGACTATTTTGATTTCTTTCTCTTCATCATATATTTTGTGTAGCTGGATAACATATGTCTGCCCCTTTCCCCCTTCTTTAGGTCTTAATAAAAATATTGGCAATAATTGCTGAAATTAGTTGGAGATTCCCAAGCTGCACAATCATCACAGATTCACTGAGAAACAATCAAAGAGGAAATTCTAATATAAGGGGCACAAAATTGTCAAGAATGTTTTTGGAATAGGTGCTGGTAATCATATTAATTCTGATTTATAAATTGAGTCCTAATTACCATATAATAGACAGCTTAAAATTGCTATGAAAATTAGTGGAAAACTAAAATTATATTATGATGTACTAGCATTACTCTTACTGTGATTATGTTACAGGTATAATGTATGAATAACTGTCTACATGAATTAATCACACAAATTTTTTCCAGTTTTCTATAAGCATTTGTAGATCACCTGAAAAGTAAAAGAGAGGAAATGATCTCAGTATCATCTCTCTATGTGATTTGACACAGGTCACTAAAGGACTTTTGACTCCCAGTTGTTTATAAAATACCACAGAAAATAAAACTATAAAAATGATTCATACCCTCTTTCCTTGCACACTACTGAATTGAAGAAGATTGATAGTGGAGAACCAAGAGTGGATTTTGGTTCCCCATCAAATTACATTTTGTTCCACAACTTGATAACTTTTAGACTTAGAGTTTTCAAGTTTAGTTATTTGTTGAATTTGTGAATCTGTTAGTTCTTCAGCCAACATAAAGATAGTTGGCCTCGCTCTTTATTCTAATTATTCTATGGAAGAATTCCTATTTTGTACTTAAACAGCCTCTTATCCATTGCTTTCATGTTTAAGGCAGGACTAGAATTCACAGGGGTTTGATTTCTAGCCTGGTGCCTTAACCACTGTTAATGCCCTGGGTACTCTGTATGAAAAATGTTCTTAACTTAATATTTTACTACTTTAAGAAATGCACAGACATGGTTTAAATAAGTCAATTAGTGGCAAAATGACCTTTAAAAAAGGGAAAGATCATACCTCCTATCAGAAAAAGCTATTTTCCTTTATGCAAAATCTTAACTTTATTGTTCACATTATTCACATTAGAACTCACATTGGTCTTCCAAGGATTTCATTTGAAACACTAGGATAAATGAGAATATATCAGCAAAATAATAACTAGAAATCACTGGCCCAAGACAATTTTAGGCAATGTTCTCTAGCATTGGAGGCTTAGACATTTCTAAAATTATGTTGGCAACAGATCTGTAAATTGGAAGTGAGGGAACAGAGATATATGCAAAAAGATTATTGTCCCGATCTGAAGAATGGAAGAGAATGGATGTCCATTCTAAGCCAGTATAGATACTTTACAAGCGTTAAACAGGATCAACACAGCATTGAATCCATGGGCTTTCCCTGAGCCTGACCCCTTCTGGTTCTTTCTGAAGTCACGACTGATCAATATCAGAGTCTGACTGAATTTTGAAGAGTTACATCAAGGCCAGTTTCTTCTCCTTAGAGCAGTGGTTCTCAACCTGTGGGTCGGGACCCCATTTGGGGTCGAACGACCATTTCACGGGGGTCGCCAAACAACACAGTCCGCCATTTTTTCCCCCTTTTCCTTAGCTGTGCTACTCCCTTTTATTCTATTAGCTTTTGAAAGCCAATAGAGTAGACTCTCTTGAATAGAGTCTAATTCTATTGGCTTTCAAAACCAATAGGAATTGTCCAGGCTGTCTCTGCCCTGCTGAGCCCGCCAAAAGTCCCATTCTGCAAAGGGTGCTGCACCAGTTGAGTAGTCCTCAACTTATGACCGGTTGAGTAGTCCTCGGCTTACGACTGGTTGGGGGTCGCGGCATTAAAAAGGTTGAGAACCACTGCCTTAGAGGGGAAATCCTGTAGTTGAATTCTCTAGATCAGGGGTAGGCAACCTTGGCTCTTTTATGACTCGTGGACTTCAACTCCCAGAATTCCTGAGCCAGCCATGCTGGCTCAGGAATTCTGGGAGTTGAAGTCCACGAGTCATAAAAGAGCCAAGGTTGCCTACCCCTGCCCTTGATCATAAGCTTTATACTGTTTTAATCTCATTTTTAGATTTAATTATAGGAAAGAAGAATCTTGCAGTGTTTGCTCCTTCTGAACAGTTTCACTAGGAGTAGGCTTTCACAACAAGTATTTGTTAGGCAGTGTTGGGCTTCAGCATTTAGTCACTGTGGTCTAGATCACAGATTTCCTGACATTTTGCTGTGGCTGGCATCTTGAGATGCAAGATGACCAGCAGACCACAGGCAACAAAGCAGGAAATGACTGGGCTGTTGCCTTTACAGGCAGGTGTCCTGACTTTTGATTAACCAACTGCTCAACAGTTTCACTAGGAACTGGAAAAGACATATTTGAGCAACGCTTCAGAAACAAATATAGATAACACATTATTTAAATGTGATTTAATAATTTTTTTTATCCAGTTACCGGCAACTTTAATGGCTATTATCTGTTTTTAATATGCTATCCTAGTTTTGGCCAAGGCCATCGGAGAGACTGTTACTGGAAGAACCAAGCTGGGATTTTCATCCCTCCAAGGAGTTTTCTAAAGTAATTTTTTTTTTTAAAAAAGTAAAAGTGATACATCAAACTATTGAAGATAAACACACCTCTTTTAATTGTTACCTCTCATGCCTCCCCTGCAAACTTTCATGGGTGTCATTCAGTGGTTTACGGCTTGACTTAGCAGAGTAATCTTAGAGGGCTCCAGGGCTTGGAGGAAAAAAAAAACATGGAGACCACCTGTGATCCACAGGTTTCCCACTGCTTCAGTCATTAAAGTTCAGTACTGACTTTATTTGATGCTCTTCCAGTTACAGTAGAGGGAAATAATTGGATTGACACATTTGAATTCTTTGGCCTGTTCTTAGATAAAAAGAGATCATTCCATAATAATTAGAGAACTGAAGATTTTATTACAGTACGTGATAAATATCATCCGTTCAGTGTGTTTCTCAAATCTTTATATTCTTTATAAATGCTATCTGCTTGCAGTAGAGCAAGAATGGGCACAACATGAAAATATGCTTAATTATAGTTGTTAACTGTTCTTGAACTGTTAAATAATTGTATAAAAATCTTGGAATGAAACTTGATTTTTATGGATGTCTAATTTGTCATGCTATATTGGAAAGCAAATCTGAAAAATATAGAAAATCTATTTTTAGACTCAAATTTTCAGATGCAGAAGCAACAATTACAGCACAAACTATTGACAAAAGACAAAACAAGAAATTATAATGTACTATGTACAAACTTTTGAAACTATAAAACATGTTGGCTGTTCTCATTTTGTAAAGCGATATTGTAGAAAATAATATATTATTTTGAATGTACAGCAGAATATTATATTGAATGGTACATAATATTAACACTACAAATAAATATTTCTTTATCCAGTAAAGTCTTTCTGTAATTTAAAAAATGATTTGATACTGTGGTATGGGCTAAAAAGTGTATTATCTGAGTTGGGGGTAAGAGGAAACTCTTGAGATAAAAGGAAGAATATAAAATTGCAGAGTTGTATGATTGGAAACAATATTTTGTTCTGCTTTACTTAAAGTCTTTTTATCAGTTATCTATATCCTACGGTAAATAATCAGCAGTAGTGAATAGATATGCCACATTGTGTGCCGGTATTACGAAAGAGTAATACAAATAAAACTGAGGTATATTTTTCCCAGTTCAAAATGGACTGAGTGAAAGTCTTGTTGAATCCAACCAGGGAATATTGAAACTCAAAATTTAAATGTTAAAGACAGCCTCCCCTTAAAGATTTATCTAGTAAAGTTGGTAACAGGGAAGGTTAGAATTAACATTTCTAAGCCAGAAGCAACTATTTTCAGGTATTATTATTCAGGCAAACATTATATGTTAAGCTATATCCACCTCTAATGAATTTCTCTTTAATGGCTTGTTTTAATATAGTCCAAATTGAACATATTTCTTCAATCTATTAAAGACCATTGCTGTGTTTATCTCATGTTGAATTGGTCTGTAGAAATTGTTATGGCTATAGATCTATTGCCATTATCTATTCAAAAACTGTCCATTCCAGATAAGAGTTGAATTTTATTGGATCTTACAGCCTAAGAATTGTCCTTATCAACCATACTGATTAAAGGTTCTGCTATTCAATCTATCTCCTGCCCTTTCCTGTCCTAAAGTTGCATGGAGGTTTGCTGTATAATGAAGCCTGACAAATCCGTGCATACAATTGAAGAGATTCAGGTGACATTTACAAAAGGAAAGTGCCCATAATGATAAGATAATACAGATACATAGATAGGTGATCTTTATACACAGGGCTTCAACTTGTAGATAAAGCCTGCCAGATGGTAATCAGATGGAGCAGGAGTTACAGGGTGTGGGATGTCTTTAAAAATGAGAAGAAATAAAAACAAGTCTGCTAATCCCCTATCCATTGATGTGTAAGAAGCTTTCCAAGTTTGAGAAGATAAGGGCAAGGACTTCTCTGACAGATTCTGGAGCTTTTGAGCCAGGCAGCATTCAAAATGTTGTTTATGGTGGGGTAGTCTTTCCTGGCTCATTTCTTCCTTCTTTTTGCTCTTACATTTCACCTCATAAGGACATCCTATGCTTCAGGAACCACATTTAGGCTGCAAATATCCAGAGGATTATTTGGTAGTGGCAAACAGCTTGTGTTTTCTGTAACTCTTGTGAAGCCTTGTGGTGATCTGTATTTTTGCAAGCCAATATATCCATGTAATCAAATTTGTTCAAGGCACAGCAAGGGAGTGGTTTGTGATCTCCAGAGCAGCTGCTGCTTCTGCCTTTACTACGTGTACACTTCTGGCTTCTTCACATCCACTACTGACGCTTTCTAAATCCCATGAACCAGTTTCACAATCATAATTGTCCTCATTCCAGTTACAAAAAATCAGAATCAGCAAAAAGCAGTCTTTTTACAGCGAGCAAAATCATCCCCACCCTTACTTTGTGTAAGATTAGTCAAACTGGTCTGCAAATGTCTACATGGCAGGACAAAACAAGACTTTCTGTATTTTTTTGCTATCGTGTAGTGGTCAATCTAGACTTCTGCAGCCAAATAAGATTCAGTAATGCTTTGCTGCCTTTGTTTTGTTGTAGCTGTGGAGGCAAAAAATCAGATTAAAACAATCTGGTCCCTTTAAAGCAGACGTGTCAAACTCGCGACGTCACGTGATGTTGCATGACGTATCGGAACTTTTTCCCTATTGCTGGCAATGGGGTGGGCGCAGTTTCCTCGTGACGCGTCCGGTCTGCGGGCTGGCAGTTTGACACCCCTGCTTTAAAGTATTAAATAAAAATAATAAAGTTAGCCATCAAGACCTCAACCACTTTTCCTTAATGTTCTCTGATTATTCAATAAATGCATTTTTGATAAGCCCACAAAATAAGCAAGATACTAAAGCAACTGCCAGCCCACGGGCCGGACGTATTATCCGGAAGCTGTGCCCACCCCATTGCCGGCAATCGCAAAACCATCCCGATATGTTGCGCAACGTCACGTGACATCACAAGTTTGACATGTCTGTACTAAAGCATCTCTTTACTGCCATCCAGTGACCATTTGAGGTTTTGCAGCCCAAACATGGTAGGCCTTGTCTTTGGGAGAAAAAAAATGTTTTGCTGCAAATAATACTGGAAGATAAAATATCCTCAGCTGAGTAGTCCCTGAGAAGCCTCACTATGAGAAAGGACAATGGAACAGGTGTGCGTGCATCACATGTGTGCATCTCCTTAGTTTAGTGCCAAATAGATCCCCAAGATTCACAATCACAGCATTGCCCAAACTGCTGCCTTCCAGAGGTTTTGAACCTCTCTGTAACCTGACAAATAGAATAGAATAGAGCTGGAAGGGACCTTGGAGGTCTTCTAGTCCAGTCCCCTGCTCAAGCAGAAGAAATTATACCATCTCGGACAAGTGACTGTCTAGCCCAGCGGTTCTCAACCTGTGGTTCGTGACCTCATTTGGGGTCGAACGACCATTTCACAGGGGTCGCCAAACAACGCAGTCTGCCATTTTCCCCCCCTTTTCCTTAGCTGTGCTACTCCCCTTTATTCTATTGGCTTTTGAAAGCCAATAGAATAGACTCTCTTGAATAGAGTCTAATTCTATTGGAATTGTCCAATAGGAATTGTCCAGGCTGTCTCTGCCCTGCTGAGCCCGCCAAAAGCCCCAGTCTGCAAACGGTACTGCAAGTTGTCTGTAGCGAAGGTGAGCTGTCTGGAAGTTTCCACCCCTCCCTGCATCTTCAATGCAGAGGAGCAGTCTATCTTATAAAATGTTCAAAAAAATGAGATTTCACTCAAGCAAACGGGCACATATATCATGTAGCCTAAATTTCCTCCTGATCAAAGGCGTGGAGACTACTAAAAATGTAAGTAAAAGAGGGCCAGGGGTGGGAGGTGGGAGGCCAGTGGATGCAGAGAGGGTTGCTGGCGTGCGTGGGGCCCAGCGGGTGCCTTACCTTCCTTGGGCTGGGCAGCTGGTGGCCCAGCCGGTGGTTGCCCTGCGCCATCGCTGCCCCTTGCCAGCTACGCCTCGGCCGGTGCAGGGGATGGCACCACACCTGCGCGGCGCTCCTGGGCAGGGAAAGTCCTCAACTTACGACCGGTTGGGTAGTCCTCGACTTATGACCGGTTGGGGTCACGGCATTAAAAAGGTTGAGGACCACTGGTCTAGCCTCTTCTTAAAAATCTCCAGTGACAGAGCGCCCACGATTTCTGGAGGCTAGCTGTTCCACTGATTAATTGTCCTCACTGTCAGGAAGTTTCTCCTCAATTCCAGGTTGCTTCTCTCTTTCATCAGTTTCCCACCATTGTTTCTTGTCCTGCCCTCTGATGCTTTGGTGAATAATGTGACCCCCTCTTCTTGGTGGCAGCCCTCAAATACTGGAACACTGCTATCATGTCTCCCCCTATTTGTTCTTTTCTTTAGACTAGCCAAACCCAAGTCCTGCAGCCGTTCTTCCTATGTTTTAGGCTCCATGCCTTTGATCAGGAGGAAATTTAGGTTACATGATATATGTGCCGGTTTGCTTGAGTGAAATCTTACTTTTCTGAACATTTTATAAGATAGACTGCTCCTCTGCATTGAAGATGGACTATCTTATCGGCGTTCAGGGTCACTCCAAAACATTTTATTGCCTAAGAGGGGGAAACAACTAATGCGAGGCCAACTACTCAAGGACTTGCGTCACCTGAAATAGAAAATTCCGCAAGAGCTTTATCCCGAAAAAAGATACCTCCCCCCCCCTAAAAATCTCACCCTTCCAGGACCCTCTTATTGGACAGCGCTCTCGCTCCCCTTCCCGGTTGACCAATGGCAAAGCTCAAAAAGAAAAAAAAAGAGGCAAAGTTCCATTCTTTTCTCTCTTCGCGTTCTTATCTAGATTTGATCTGATAGCAAGAGGGGGAAGAAAAAGCCGCTCCGCTCGATGGGTTTGGAAAGGAAGGCGGGAGGGGGATCGGACCCAAAGTCCACTCTTCCTAGAAATGGGGAGGAACCTTAAGAGGTGGAGGAAGCAGGAGCCCCCGCCAGGGCGGGTCACTCTTCGCCCTACAACGCCGCTGCAAAAGTGTCTTGGCGGCGGGCCGCTGGAGCAACAGTTGGACCCGAGCTGGGTCGGGGGAAAAGAGGCGTCCCAACTCCTAAAGCCTGTCTCACTTCTTTTGACCGCAACTGCCTGCGCAGGTATGGCTTTGTCCCTTAAAAAAAAAAAAGAGAGAGAGAGAGAGAGAGGGCTGCGCGGCGTCGGATGCAAGCCTGGCTGCCTTTGGAAAGATCGCAGCAGCCGGGTGCGGAAACAAGCATCTTTAAAGTCCCCTTTGCTGGAGGAGCCCCCCGAAGAGAAACCGCAGGGCCAGTGGCGGCTTTCCGCCTGCCGGCTGCTGTGTCAGCTCCAGTTCCACGTGACAGCAGCGCCGGTGGGGCTTCAGCTCCGCTTCGTTGCGTCTCTTCCTCCTCACGTGTCCCGTGTCCCTCTTGGAGTATGTAGACGAGGCTAGAGCCGGAGGAGGAGGCGGTGGCTAAGGTCGGCTTCCGCGCCTCGGGGCCCCGCGGTCCCGGGGTAAGGGAAAGCCTTGGGTGACTCGGTGAGTGGGTGCAAGGTTTAAAGAAGAAAGGGGAGCAGCAGCCGAGCAGAAGCAGCTTTCTTCAGTTTCACCTGGAACGAGGCTCTTGTGCCCATTTATCGGAAGGCAAACCTCACCACGGACCTCTTAAAAAAAAACAAACTTGTTTTTTTCCTTCAAGAGAGGGCTGTACAATTCAGCAGTCCTTGACTTACCAGCACAATAGAGCCCAAAATTTATGTCGCTAAGTGAGACATTTGTTAAATGAGTTGTGACCTTTCTTGCCACAGTTGTTCAGTGAGCCACGGCAGTTGTTAAATTAGTAACACATTTGTTGAGTGAGTCTGGCATCCCCATTGCCTTTGTCAGAATGTTACAAAAGGTGATCACATGACACTGGGGCATTGCAAAACTGTTATAGTTAGTATGAGTCAGTTGTCAGGCATCCAAATTTTGATCACGTGACCATGAGCGGGGATGCTGCAATGGTTATAAGTGTGAAAAATGGTCGTAAGTCACTTTTTTTCAGTGTGGTTGTAACTTTGAAGGGTTAGCAAACTGCTGTAAGTCGAGGCCTATCTGTATTTTAAGATGCAGCTGCCGCCCCAGGAACAAGCCTCTGTCAAGATTTAACTAGCAATTTTGGTCCATTGGAAACAAAACAAAAGAGCGCCCAAAGATTGTGGCACAGTACTTTTAGGGCTGATTCTGAAAAAAATAAATAAATGGCAGAATGCTGCTTTAGATAGCCTAAGGCTGGCTGGTTATCGGAAATCCAGGCAGAGATTGTGGTATTTCTCAGCAGGAGATAAAGGTTGCTTTGCAAACTTTAAGCCAGTCTTCAACAACAGAGTCTTGCTGTGAATTCCATTGGTAAGTGGCTCCTAACTGGTTTAATTTTTTATTAAAGTAAATAAGTTAGTTTGAAGTCTTCGACTCAGGAACAATGCCTAATGATTTCAGTGGGGCTTTGATCCTCTGTAGTAGAAGTTACCTCTGGCTAAACAGTGTGGTGTGTAGGCCTTCCAAATTCCTTCAGTTTTTTTTTCAAAGCCAATAAAAGGTTTGTTTTTTTTAAATCTCTGCATTACGTAACACATCCTAATGTGAAATGAAGATTTAATCCCATGTCCTAATCAAAGGAGAAACCATGCAGACAACATTGTGATACATCTTAGAGTCAAGTTATTACATTTCTAAATTATGGTGCCATTCAAGGTTCAAGTAGTTCAATTATTACTCAACTTATGGCTGTTACGGAGCCTGTCCATTATGGTTGTAAGTCATAAAGTGGGTCACCCACGGAACCAACCCAATTTTACAACCTTGTTGCAATTGTTGTTAGGTGAATACAGCACTTTTAAAGTAAACCAATTGTTTGCTATGTGGCGGTTTTGCTGACATAACCCAGACATAAACACCAATTTGGGGCAAAAATGTAAAATATGGTCATGTGATCATGGGATGCTATAACCGAGTGTAAATGTGGGCTGGTTGCCGAGCACCCATAATGCAGCCATGTGACCATGCCATGGCTATTCAAACTTCAGAACTGGGTTGTAAGTACCCTCCCTGGGGAGCGGTCCGTTGTAATTTCAAATCATTGCCAAGTGACCAGTCATAAGCTGAGGACTGCTTGTATGCTTATTCAGAAGTAGGTCCTATTTGGTTCACTAGGATTTGCAATCTAATTCATTCCCCTAAATGTGAATGATTAGTTCACGTTTTCCATTTGGAGTATAGGATAACATAACTGCAGCTGAATATTTTTACTAGGAAACATATCTTTGTTCAGCTTAAAACTACCCTGAGAGCATAGGAAAGGGAGGGAAGTTCTGGGAGCAAGCTGAGTGGGTGCAGTCCCTGAAATACGGTATCTAGGTGTTACTGGAGCTTTTTCCACTGTACTTGAGAGCAGTGTAGCACACAAAGATTCAACACTTTTGCTGCTTCCTGCTTTTCAGATTGTCAGAGGCTACAACTTCACTCTGCCTTATATATTGGATAAGCCCTAAAGTTTATCTCTCACTATTGTTAGAAAAGAGAAAGCACTCGGTACCCAATTCTGTTTATGTACACAGTGGACCTACTTCCACAAGGCATCTTCTGAAAAAGAATTCGAATTTCTCTGATGCCATTCAGGGGAGCAGCCAAGGCAAAGAGGAGACACCCCTGTTTTCAGTAGAGCATTTATGTGGCATTTTATGTGATATAGTATGAAGAAATATTCCAGACTAGAATTAGCAAGTCATTGAGGAAATGAATGTGAGGGAAACAATATACTTTGTTGATTTAGAATTTTTTTTTTACAAAAATTATGGAATGTTTTGAGCAAAGAAAAATAGTCCTAACTTAACGATAATGATTGGGTTGTTCCATCATTAAACAATATAATTATAAAACCAGGTACAATCATGTGATGACCCACTTAACGATTGCTGTGACTTATGAGCACAATTGCGGGCTCAATTATGGTTGAGGCCTACATGTGTGTTGTGTATGCATCTATGAAATATTCTGCATAAAGTAAGCATTTACGCGAGCGAGTGTGTGAGGAAGGGGCCAGAAATGTTGCCAAAACACGCTTGCCACACCAGAACCAGCAGAGTTGGCATGCTCCATATCCCTTCCATTAGGAAATGTCACTGTGTAAGAACTAGAGGTCAGCTCTCTGTCGCAATGTTTGCCCTATGGAACAATACCAACCCAGAGGTGCTTATGGCCCTGTCCTTCCTGACTCTTCTTAAGACTTAAAAGACCTGGACATTACCTCAAGTACTTGGGGTGGGAGGTTAAACCAGTCCTGCCAGTGGATTTATTTATTTTGGTCTTTATTGATTGCAAATGAAATGTTTATAGAATCTGGAAGTATGTCATTTATTATCATTGTCATTTTTTATTAGTACTTGAGTTTCTTTATTTTGTATACTGTGTTCTGTTTTTTAACAGGGAATATAGGTGGTTTAAATAAATAAATGCTATGGGAAACTTGTACTAGCCAAGCCACTGCAGTTGTGATACTGTAAATCTGCATTATAGCTATCAAAGGTTAAACTCAGATCTGTTAACCACACAGAAAGATTTTGAGTGGAAAATTCTACAGCAATTTCTTACTTGGATTTTCCAAATAAGAAATACACAGTAATTTGCTGGCTGGGTTCTCAAGTCATGCTTAATCATGGATTATTTAACCAAGATTGTTGACTAAGCCTTAGTAAGGCCACACCTGAAATACTGCATCCAGATGTTGAGACTTTGGAAAAAGTAACAAGTATAAAGAAGAGCAACTAAGACGATTAAGGGCCTGGAGACTAAAATATATGAAGGATTTGGGTTTGGCTAATCTAGAAAAAAGGAGGTCTAGGGGTGACATGATAGCAGTATTCTGGTATTTGAGAGGCTGCCACAAAGAAGAGGGGTCAAATTATTCTCCAAAGCACCAGAAGGTAGGACAAGAAACAATGGATGGAAACTGATCAAGAGAGAAGCAATCTGGAATTCAGGAGAAACTTCATAACAGCGAGGACAATTAACCAGTAGAACAGTTTGCCGTCAGACATTGTGGGTGCTTCATCACTAGAGATTTTTTAAGAAGAGACTGGACAGTCACTTGTCTGAAATGATATAGAGACTCCTGCTTGAACAGGAGGCTGGACTAGAAGACCTCCAAGGTCCCTTCCAGCTCTATTTTGATTCTGATTCTGATTCTAAAATATGTTCAGCCATAAACAAGAATTCCCCATTGCATAGGCTACATTCAGACTCTGCCTAAATTTTATGGCTTCCAGGGTTTCTTAAGATTATTTGTCAAAATTCAACTGTAAACCAGTTAATTTTGTGTTTTTCTATTTCTCAAAAAAAGATTAAAACATCTGTTTTATCTCTGATAGACTTAACATATCCACTTTGCTTGCAGCTGACCAACATCCTCAAATATGGGCTGTGAACAAGTTTCACTGTAGCTGAAGAGCGAACATGGCCCTGTAGAAAAGAATGTAGAACATAATATTCTATTAGACTTCAGATATTATTTTATATTCTATGTTGTAAGTTGCCAGCTCCTAACATCAATTCTGGTTTTTGAGCTTTTGTGGCTGTTTTTATGCAATACATGTAGCCAGATCCAAGCCCAACCCAGAATGTAAAACATTTCTTAATGTCGTATACAAAGGGCCAAGTTTCAAAATGGTTTTACATTGTGCCTGTAATGGTGCAGCTAGCTTGTGGTCAATGCATCCCATTTGGAAGCTGTCCATGCTCTGTAAGTCCAGCTCATTTGAGCACCCAGGTGATGTTGTTTCTGCAAGGTGCATTTGAGGCATTTGCAATTCAGACAGAATTATTTGTTTGGGGCTTCCTGGAAGAGTATAGTGAGTGTTGCGGTGTGATACATTTAGTCAGAGATAGGCGGCTGATATACAACCACAGAGACCTTTGGCTTCAATCATTCCTTCAGCCGAGGCATGTTTTACAGCTCTACTGTTTGTGCAGTGTTACTAGGCCAAATATAGCAAAAAGGTTAAAGGAAACAAAGATTATTTGTACGATCCATTGCTGACATGTTGGAAGATTACTGTGAGAATTCTCCTTACCAGCGCCTTGGGGCCAGGTTACCTGTTACAGAATTGTAAGTAAGATAATCCTAAAAACCCCTTTCTTTGAGGAACTTTCCTTCAGGATTGAGAACATTATGCATTTTTCAACCTAAGAAGACGAGGGGAGGGAGAGAAATTAGTTTTCTTGTTATTAATTCCCAAATGCATGGCTCAAGACAGAAGTGTGTGTGTGTGTAAGAAAGAGAGTTTAAGGGCAGCGAGTGCAATAGGCTATTTTCTTGGACTGTAATGCGTAAATTGGATCAAAGTTACAGCGAAGAACCCTGAAAATCCTTTAAGAACTGGACAGTCTTTTTCAACAGATTCGAGTAACTGAATACTCTTAATTAGTTCAGTTTTGTTTATTTCATGTTAACATTTGCTAGCAGGTTCAGGAACCATGCTGCTTAAAATACCATGTAAAACAGGCTATGGCTGGTTGATTCAAGAAACCTTTTTTTTTTTGTTGAAAAAAAGAGTAATTTTGCTTCCCTTAATCTGATAGTTTCATTTGTTAACTTTCAAAATGAAAGCAGGGGGTATAGGTGCAATATGTTTAGTTTCTTTTAAAATGATCAACCTGTGGGGTTGTTTTTTTGTTTTGAATGGCAGGACTATGATGGCTCAAGCAGATTCAGATATCATGGAAGAGGAATCACTAAAGAAGGATTTAAAGTTCTACTTTATGAATCCTTGTGAAAAATACAGAGCTAGAGGCCAGATACCATGGAAACTGGGGCTTCAGATTCTGAAGATAGTTATGGTTACTACCCAGGTAAAATTTTAAAAGATGCTCATATTACTTTGTTGGGGTTTCACATATGTGAATTGGCAAATGAATGAATTCCTAGCACATTTGTTCTTTTTAGTTTTATTTAGTTTAAATATAAAGAACTGGATCAACTGTGGATAGAAAAATAAATAAATTGTCATACTCTGAAGCCTTGGACCACTTGACGTGTCATGTGTATTAAGTTAACTTGGGCCATAAGAATTACAAGATTAACCATTAATTCAGGTGAAGGAAATGATTATTTTAATCAAGGGCTACTGGAAAAAATTAATAGAGCTGATTTGTTATTAGCGTAGTTGTTAGATCTTTGTATATCACTTAACTTCCGGACACTTATGAAAACATGGAATGTTTCTCTCTCTCTCCCCTACTTCCTTCTCTCTCTCTCTCTCTCTCTCTCTCTCTCTCTCTCTCTCTCTCTCTCTCTCTCTCTCTCTCTCTCTCTCTCTCTTTTGTGGGAGAAGTTGAGTAGCATCCCATCTTGAAAAGATCTTAAGTACAGGTAGTCCTTGACTTACAACAGTTTATTTAGCGACTGTCCAAAGTTACAACAGCACTGACGAAAGTTACTTATGACATTTTTTTCACATTTACAACCGCTGCAGCATCCCCATGGTCATGTAATCAAAATTCAAACATTTGGCAACTGTTTCATATTTATGATGGTTACAGTATCCCAGGATTTAGATTTTGGACACTTGCAACCTCTGTGGGACTTACCGTAACTCTTTCTCAACAACAATAACGAAACATTCAAAATTTTCAGTATAGCCTATTTCAGTATAGTGGAGGATTTGGAACCCACAAATGGAATATTTGAATGTTGGGAATGCCTGCATTAAACCATGATTTAGCAAACTAGGGTGCTTATATTGAAAAGTACTTGCCACCTGCTGTTTTGTATGTGACATAAAACAATTTCCTCTTGCTTTCTTTTCTTTCTTAAAGCTCATCCTTTTTGGTTTGAGTAATCAGTTGGTGGTTTCCTTTAAAGAGGAGAATACTATAGCTTTTAAGCACCTGTTTCTGAAAAACTACGCTGGGGTCGATGAAGATGACTACAGTTGCAGTGTGTACACACAGCAAGATGTCTACAATAGCATCTTTTTTGCAATTAGTCAGGTAAGTGTTTAAATTGGTATCTGAATATATGAGTGAAAAACGTGCATGCATCTGACTAGAAATGGAAATGCTAATATGGTCAATTCAATGGGCAACTGAACAGGAGAACTGAGAATGTGGAATTTATTTGATTTAAAGGCTGTCCACTCTCATGTTTCTACTGAATCCCAACTTGAAACTGAGATTCAGTGCAGAGATATAAAATCTCTGGGATTATGCCTTCGGCATGTCCTAATTATTTAACCCAACGCCTACTTTTTTAGAAGTTAAAATTGTAAATTCACGTGCTTGCCCAAAGAATATTCTAGATATTGGCCACCTTTGCTGCGGCTGTAGCTACAATTCAACTCTTTTGCCACAGGGAAATAACAATTGACTTTTTAAAAACTTGACATACTTTTGTTACGCTTCACGGTAGTCATTCCAAAAGGAAGTTTTTAAAAGTCACAGATTTGCTTCTAAGTAAATGTATAACTGGGCAAAAAAGGTAATGAATGCCATACGGTGCAATTAATACAATAACTCTCTATTATCAGGGTCTGCAACTTTGTTTTGAAAATAAATGGAATGTTTCAAAGCTAATTTCAAGCTTCTTGTTTAAATATCTGTGTTTTTGGATGTCTTATAATCCTAGTTGAGGCTACCAAAAAAAGAACGTTTCTTCTTTGTTTGCATCTAGTACCAACAACTGAAGAATATATCACTGGGCACACTTGGTTATGAGCAAGATGAAGATGACATGGCTGGCTTACAGATATGTAAGCAACAATATAAGAAAGGCACAATGCTTTCTTCTAATGATACTTTGCACATAGACAGTACTATCGAAACAGGTACTTTGGAATCAGCACGATACTGTAGCTGTCCATTTGATATTTGTATGATTTTCAAAACTTGGGGGCAAAACTTGTAGTTAGTGTCTGATTTCAGATTTGCCCATAATATACACAAATAATCATTTGCCTTGGCTGCCCAAGGGTGCCTTGTCTGTAAATAAAACAATAGCATTGCTCTCAGGATGCCACAAAGTGAGGTTAACACCTCACAACAAGTTATAACATAGTTCATATTTTGACATGATGTACTGTGTCCATTAGATCAATGCTATGCTTTGTTTTAGGAAACTATTACACAGTTTGAAATAAAGCATTTTTCTTAGGTTTCTAAGTGAGGCAATGGCCTGGTGGTGATTTCATAATTCCTGGTTTATTTTTGCTTCTCACTGAAGTCTCTAATTAAGAGATACAGGGCCCGCTATGTGAAAAAAATGTGTGTGGGTAGGCAACAAGCCAGACATTAACTTTCCAAGCTATGATTGAATTGCTGATCTGAAAGTCTGACTCTGGCTTTATCATTAAAGTGTGGTTAGTATACTCCGTGCCACTGGACAGTTGTTTTGCAACTTAACAAACTGGGATGTGAACCACGCTTTTTTGCTAGTAAAGAAACGCCTTTTCCCTCCTGTTATAGTGTGCCTTGGTGAAATACGGAAATATAAACCCCCAGTTCTTGTCTACCTGAATTGAGGAAGTAGGGTAATTTGTTTGAGAACTGGACAGGAAATTTAACCACAGTCAAATTCATAGTTCAAGCTTGCTTAAAAGTGAAAATGGGAAATCTTTAGGCAATCAGAGGGCACATTTTTATATTATTCTTTTTCTTCAGTGTGTAGATAGGTTGATGATATAATGCATCTCACATGTTTTGGGTTTGTTTTCTTTTGAAAGTCAGAAGCAAATTGCAGCTCTGTGATTTAAGTATTTGCCAGATCAGCTACGGACATAGGAGTCTATTTGTGGCATGTATATTGACTATTTCTATTTTGGGATCTTTCCTTGTTCCAGAATTGATAACTTTAGTTTCTGGATTTTAATAAAATGGGAGCTTATAATTTCTTGTAGCAATCAGACGCAAGAGCAGAAGGTTTATGGGAAGCTCATGAACACTTTGGGTCTTCGAACTGTAAGGGGATTATCTAGTGTAGCCTATGCCTTTTGACTGTGTTTAGGCTTTGTAGTTCTTTGTACATTGTGTCAACCTCTACAAGTAGTCTTCATTTAGCAACTGCTCACAGTTAGGATGGTGACAAAAAAGTAACTTTGCAACCACAGGAAAACTGAAGTAAGATCATAAGCATTGTTGCAGTTGCTTTAAGCAACCTCTTTGCTTAATGACCCAGTTGTCAATCTCAATTGTGGTTGATAAACAAGGACTACCTGTACAGCCAAAGGACTGATTGGAAGAGGGGTTTGGGGCGGGTACCCAAATAGCTTATTTGTGTAGAATTCATATAAGTTGTATGACTCAGCCTGTTTATTCATCTATATGCTTCTCTTGGTTTTATTATTTAGATATTGCTTATATACCAAACTGGATTTAAAGAATATAAAATTATAACTTGAGACTGTGTTTCTTGTATAAAATAGAAGATGGCGATAATAATGACTTTTGCATAAGCTGTGCTTGCTTTGAAATCATGTTGTTACAGATTGCATCTTTTCGATTTCTCAAGCCTATGCCATATATTTGGAAGTATTTAAATGTATCTTTTAATTCCTTCTTCCAGAATGCATTCATTTGAAACCTCAGGATCTGTCCACTAAGGATATAAGTGACTTAAAGAATTCAACCTTTTTCAACCTTGAGTTCTATAGGTAACATGCAGTTTTTAAAGCCAGTTTCTGTTTCCTCAGAAAAAGAAAATATTGTAATGGTTTCTCTTTTTCCAGGCTCATACAGGTTGAAATTTATTTTAAACTAAAAGGCATTGATCTGCAGACTATTCATACTCGTGAACTACCTGACTGTTACGAATTTGAAAATACTGTGAGCAATTTTTTATTATTTCACCCATAGAAAATATCTTTTATGTTGGCATCTCTTATACATTAGTTTAATACAGGTTGTTCTGAACTTAATGACCAGTCACTTAATTATTATTTGAAGTTCCAATGGATTTACCTGGGAGGTACTTAAAACCTAGATTCAAAGTTCTGACAGTCAGGCCAGCCCCCTTTCATGGTCACATGACTGAACTTTGGGCTCTCTACAGTGGGGCTGCATTTACAGCCATTTGCAGCTTCTCACGGTCACATGATTGCATTTAATGACAGTTTTGCTGAAAACAGGCATTTACTTCCAGTTTTTGGCAAAACTGCGCCCATAGCGAACCATTTGGTTGCCTAGTAGCCATTGTAAAAAAAAGTTCATAAAATCAGGTCAGTCACATGACTGACCTTTTTCACAACCCTCACGAATTATGATCAAGATGGGCAAACTCCATTACCGTCGTAACTTGAGGACTACCTATATTATGCATCTCTTGTACATTAGCTTAATATATTGTAGTGGGCAATACACTGACCTATAAAGAAACTTTATTCACCAGTCAAAGGATTTTTTGTATGTAGTACATCTATATGTAACATTTCATAAATATTTTTAATGGGAAAATTAGCAGTGATTGTTGTTTTAAGTAATTTTCCATACTAAGATATACAGTTGCTCCATTACTCTAGTACTGTTCTACAATGCACTCACAAAGCTTTGTTCTTCAGTGGATTGAAAAAAGTAAGTAAGCTGCTGGATGTTTTAGTCTTCAGGGTGCAATTGAAATAAATTAACTGGTTGAGACAAAAGTTACTGTAAATTGCTATCTTTTAGTGATAATAACAAGATGCATAAACTATATTGCCAAGCTACTTTCTGAAGAATTACTGCTTTGATACCTATGAATAGATTTAGGAGTTTGTAGCTTTTAAAAGAAAACGTATATAGGATGCTCTTCCCAACCTTATCTATACCCCGCACCCTTAGAACGCTTCTCATATTTTCTCACACCCCTTATAAAAGTTCAAAATAAAGGCAATGAATTATGCATATACCCTATAATTTTGAAAACCCAAGTTTTTGCACCCCCGGGAATATAGTCTCGCACCCCCCTAGTTGGGAACCCCTGCTCTATACAAAGCCAGTTTGGTGTAGTGGTTAAGGCACCAGGCTAGAAGCTGGGAGACTATGTTCCAGTCTTGTCTTAGGCACAAACCAGTGGGTGACCTTGGTTGTCTCTCAGCCCTAGGGGGGGGAGGTAACGACAAACCAATTTTGAAATCTTATCAAGAAAATTGTTCCAAAAAATTGGAATTCTCCAGGCCAGTGGTTCTCAACCTGTGGGTCGGGACCCCATTTGGGGTCGAACGACCATTTCACGGGGGTCGCCAAACAAGGCTGTCCGCCATTTTTTCCCCTTTGGCCACGCCCCTGGCACCCAGTGATGTATAAGTGGTTGGGGGTCACCACAACATGGGGAACTGTATTATGGGGTCGCGGCATTAGAAAGGTTGAGAACCACTGCTCCAGGCAATTACCAGGAGTCAACAATGACTCAAAGGCATACACCCACACAAAAGGGCTGCTCTATTTGATTTAAAGTACATATCCATTCTAGGGTGTAAATAGTTTTTTTTTTTAAAAAAAAAAACTTTTTCCTTGACAGATTACTTTTAACAATATGGCTCACAGTGGTAAAATGAAAATATATTTTGATACTGACGCTGACATTCAAGAATGTAAAGAGTGGAATATATCTGGCTCTCGTAAGTATCATGCACACTTGAATAAAAAAAATGGAAGCCTCCCTTTTTTTTAATGGATAGAGCCATTTCGCCTCGAGACTGTGGCGTTGATGGCTTAAACATTGTCAACAATGGAGAAAATTTGACTGGGTCATATTTCTTGAGCAAATAGACATGCACTTGTATAACAATAGCTACGCGGAAGAGCAGTGTTTATCTTTTCATATCATTATTCTAAAATGGAAGCTACCTTGGTTTTATTTTTTTAATTCAGCAAAGAAAAATGCATGTCTAAAATCACCATCAAGATTTTCCTGTCCTATTAAGAGGTAATAAAATACTGAACAAAGAAGCTCAAAACCGTAAAAACTAAGCTAAGCTAATATTGTCATTTAATACAGAAAATGTATACACAGACAATTATTGTGCAAGCATTCTTCACAAGTACTGTAGATAGAGAATTACATTTTGAAAGTCTGTAGATCAATGGGTTTTTTTCTGTTTCTTCATGCTTCAGTTCAGGATGTACTGTACTTAAAGGGAAGTGACTTGCTGCAATTAATTTATCACCTCTGAAGTGACTGGCTTGGAAATATCTATACTTTTTAAGTTTTAATTTATTGATTTTTTCTATTTCCCTTAGTAGTTCAAAAGAACACACAGTATATCTTGGTTTTTGATGGGCTTGTTATAGTGAGCTGTTTTGCTTCCCTGATTCTCTGCACACGATCTATTATTCTTGCTCTAAGATTGCAGAAAGTAAGTATGCCTCATTTCTATTCATGCATTTTATTTTTCCAGAATAACAGAAAGTAAGAATTGTTCTTAATATGTTTGTCATATAGTTTGTTCAGAAGTCCTATTTAAGACTGAAACTGTAATAGCGGGATATGTTTTTGAAGATGGGAAATGCATATTCTAAATTCTCTTGCAATTAACAGTTGCTGATTATTAGAGCTTCGACTGTATTCAAGCATGTTAAATTTTCATTTAAGTCAGTTTAATTAATCACCAGGTGGAATCCCAGACATAGTGGACATAGAACATATATTATTTAATTTTCAACTGTAAAACAAACAGACACACCAAGATCTTGGATTGCACATTAGACAAATGGACTATTGGGATCTTTAAATTAAAATAATACATTCCGTATGCATCAAAATTCTGAAATTACATATAATACAGCCCTTTATCTGAATGCTCGGTATAATTAAGAATTTCATATGTGAATCTGAAAGGGTAAATTGTAGGGTGGACACAGAAACATAATTTGCATTTTCTTTTATTCTTGTCTTTTATGCTATTTTCTAACATATGGTCATATTTGTGTTCAGTATTTTATATTCTGATATGGCCTAATGGATAATAAAGAAAGTATTAATAATTAATTAGAAGAACTAAAGAAATGTCATGTTGATATAACATTACCTATTTGGAACTTTTAAATATTGATCTTCTTTTCTCTCCAAACTCTTGTCATTCTACTCAAATGGATTAAGAAAACTGGAAATTGAAGAAATATATTATTATTATTTTTCATAGTGCTATAAAGTGGTTTGATTATTTTGTTTGTGTGCTGTGTATGCCACCTATTAATGGTTGAGGGATACTTATGAACCTTGGCTGGTTCAACAAACTGTAATTAAAATTCCACATTTGGAATGGGGCAAACCGTGTAAATTGTTGAACACAGAATGTATGAAATAGCTTAATTTCTCTCCAGCCAGAGACTGAATATTTGCAATGCACAACAGGAATAAGCAGAATTGTAAAGAGAATGAGATCTTAAATGTTAGTCAATAACTCTCTTCTATAATGTGTGTATACACTAGAGATAGATGAAGTTGTTTCTAAAATATTTCTATCCTATAAGATAGTCAGTCATAAGCGATCCTGGGATTGTAGTTCAGCAATAGCAATAGCTGAACTACAGGTTCCTTATCTTAATGCAATTCCTATGATGATCACATGGTGGCATTACCATAGTAGTGATGTGATGTTAATTAGTAAATCATTCTTGTTTTGAAGCATTTTTTCTTCTTCTTATGTTAATCTTTAAACCAGAGATTTGTGAATTTTTTCCTGGAGAAGTATAAACGTCATGTATGCAGTACAGATCGTTTAGAGTTCATAAATGGATGGTATGTTCTGGTGATCATCAGTGACATAATGACTATCATTGGCTCAATAATGAAGATGGAAATAAAAGCAAAGGTAATCCTTAAAGCTTCAGTTACTTTTGGCTTGTGATAGCTGAAAGAATCCTAACCTCTAAAACACTGGTTGAGATCTGAAGAGGAATCAGCTCTTCCTCTTTCAGTGGCTTTTTTTCTTCTTTTTTCAGAATCTGACAAGCTATGATGTTTGCAGCATTTTTCTTGGAACGTCCACTCTATTTGTTTGGGTTGGAGTCATTCGATATTTGGGCTACTTCCAAACCTACAATGTAAGCTCAAGTAGCAAAGTACCAGAAACTGAGTGTCCCCCCCCCACACACATGGTATCTAATGGACTTTCTCCCAATTTCCTAGGTACTCATTTTAACAATGCAAGCATCTTTACCCAAAGTTCTCAGATTCTGTTGTTGTGCTGGCATGATATACCTTGGATACACTTTCTGTGGCTGGATTGTTCTAGGACCTTATCATGAAAAGGTATGTAAGTGATCTGAAACGTATTCTTTATAAGCAATTAAGAACTATTATAAAAGACTATTGCATACAAACATAAATTTAGAGGCAAATGGGTATCCTCTGTGTCATACATTAGTTGAGTTGTTCATAATTCAACTCATAGTTCTAATTGCTAAAGAATCTTTTATATCTGTAGAAAGAGACCGTGTGGTACTCCAGTCTTCATTGGTGAAGGAATTAAATGCAACTATTGAGTTTGTTTATGGGTGACTTGAAAGTTGATTAATGTATCCATTATGATTTCTCTTGCAGACGTTTCTTGCTAGAGGGCAGCATTGTATCATGCTAGTTAGCTTAAAAGAGACATCACTTCTTCCGTAAGATAATATAAAATAATATTAAAGATCGTGGTTTTCTGTCTTTCTAGTTCAAGGCTCTGGGAAAAAAAACCATTTGAACTTGTCAAAAATTGATAGGGCAAATGCTAAAATAATCTTGATATCATTTTTGAGAGACTAAAGACTGCCATGCTCCCGGGAAATATATAGTGGTGCTTAAAACTTTGTGAACCCTTATGAATTTTCTGTGTTTCTACATAAAGGAGATCTAAAATGTTTTGTTCTCCACACAGGACCTAAAACTAGATAAACAGAACCTAATAAACAAATGAACTGAAAGTATTATATTTGTTCATTCTTTTTATTGAGGAAAGTGATCCAGAGCCACATACAGTATTTGTGTCTGCCAAAAATAGATGAACTTTTGCTTTCAGTAATTGCCCCCTCCTTGACCAGCAATAACTGCACTTAAACATTTCCAATAATTGTTGATCAATCCTGCACATCAGTCTAGATTGGGCCATTTCCAAACTATTAACTTTCTTCTGCTTTAACCATTTGTTGGTTGTGCCCTTTTGTGTTTTGGGTCATTGTCTTGTTGTATGACTTACTTTCCCTTGAGCTTTACTAACAGATACCCTGGATTTTTTTGTAGAATTTGCACAATGTTATATTTTGTACATATATTTTGAATTGTAAGATTCAGAATTCAGAATTCCATCAGGATGGCAAGCCACCCAAGGGGTAGCAAAGCAGATTCAAACCATGATACTGCTACCATCATGTTTTACAGATGGGATGTGGTGTTTACTTTTTGCCAACATAACACTTTCATTCATGCTAAAAAAAAATTTTGGTCTCATTCCATTACAAAACAGTCTTCCAATAGCCTTCTGTCTTATCCATATGGTATTTTGCAAACTGGGTGGGCAGAAATGTTCTTTTTGGAAAATCGTGACTTTCTCCTTGCATCCTTGCCATGCGCACTCGTTGTTCAATATTCCCATGAACCTTTGCCAATGCAAAATAGGGTTTTAGTTCCTTTGAAATTACTTTGGTTTTCTTTGAGATCTCATGGAATATTACATGCCTTGTTCTTGCTGTGATCTTGGTCGGTCAAACACTTCTAGGATGAAGAATGCTAGTGTTGAATTGCCCTCATTTGTATACAATCTGCCTGACAGTGGACTGGTGGAATCCAAATTCTTTCAGTCTGGAGGTCCTTATAAATCCCTTTGAGACATGACATACTTCCACATTCCTGGATTGTGAAGATCAGACTTTGATAGTGAATACCCAGAATTCTGTTCTCTAAATAAAGCAGGACTTTTAGCATCCTATTGATTGAAACACCTGACTCTTATATCTCCTTCAAATTAACTAATAAACCTAGACTAGAGGTTCATATACTTTTGCCACACATAAATATGTAACATTGGTTCATTTCCTCAATAAATAAATGAAAAATATAACATTTTGACTATTTATTGGGTTCTATTTATCTAGCTTTTGGACTTGTGTGAAAAACAATCACGTTTTAGGTCATATTAAGCAGAAATATTGAAAATTCAAAAGGGTTCAAAAACTTCTAAGCACCACCCTGGAAAATGCTGCTCTCTTGAGTGCAGGACACCTGTATCCATTTTGTTTTATTGCCCCAAACTTCAATCTCCTCCACATATCATATGGAACTTCTATCCATCAAAAGGTTGACAGTCCTTAATGGTGCTTTTCAGTGAAATCTATTACCTAAAGACTATTGATACTATACTGAGACTTACCATGGAAAGCAGGTTTTAGAATTATGGTTTGTGTTTAATTTGTTAAAAAAAACTATGTGGAATACTGTAGCACATTTATACAATTTGGAAAAAAGATGCTTTATCGGATGTGAAACCTGCACTCTTTGAAATCTACATTTTTTTTCTGCAGATGTTTTGTTGTCTTTGTTCAATCCAGCTTTAGCAATGTTTTGATTTTTACTAATGAGTTGTAACTTCTTTATTAGTTTTTTTTTAAGAAGATTGGTCTAAAATTATTCTGAAATGCCACAATAGCTGTTTCTGATGTTGGTTATGTTCTGTGCTCTCTACTTCTAGTTTGAAGATATGAACACCGTAGCAGAATGTCTTTTTTCTTTAGTCAATGGTGATGACATGTTTGCTACATTTGCTCAGATCCAGCAGAAGAGTACCATAGTCTGGTTATTCAGTCGATTATACCTGTATTCCTTCATTAGCCTCTTTATATATATGATACTCAGCCTCTTTATTGCCCTCATTACAGATGCGTATGACACCATAAAGGTAAAATATACTGTGTTAAGTACTATTTCAGTCTATGGGAATCTTCTTGAAGGTGATCTGGAGCTCAGTTAGAGAAACATTCAGAAATAAAATGTTATGTGTAAGCTTGAAAATTCTCATTAGATACAGTGCTTTTTAAAGCAGCGATCCCAGTGGTGGGATTCAGCCGGTTTGCACTGGTTCGAAAGAACCAGTAGCTAAATTTACTTGAATTCAGAGAACTGGCTGGGTTCTAGAAGTCCAATCTAGGCCTTGGAGGCCTGGAGGAGGCCTCTGAGGCCTAGAATAGCCCACCAATAGTGCATGGATACTACTTCTGGAACTCCGTTCTAGGCCTGTGAGGCCTAGAGGAGGCATTGGAGGCCTGAAGGAGACCTCTCAGGCCTAGAACGGCCCACCGGCAGTGTGTGGATGCCACTTCTAGGAATTGGAGACCTGGAGGAGGCCTCCCAGGCCTAGAACAGCCCACCGGAAGTGCGTGATGCTACTTCCAGAAGTCCGTTCTAAGCATCAGAGGCTCAGGCCTGCATCAAATAAGAGAACCAGTTGTTCAGGTATTTGAATCCCACCACTGAGCGGTCCCCAAACTTTCTGGAAGAGAGAGGATGGTTCTATGTGAGCAGCAGACGTGCACGCATGTGTTCCTGCCGCTTGTGGAAATGGAACTTTGCACACATGAGTGTGTCCGCCGCTTGCGCAAGTGGAGCTTCACATGTGCTCTTACCCACCACTTGCGTGGCCTGGTTCTGAACAGGCCACAGCCCAGGGGTTGGGGACACCTGTTTTAAAGGTTGTTTTAGTAGTGTATATGTGCCTGTTAATGAAATACTAAAAAGTTAGAAACCTTTTCCTTGAGTACACTTATTTTTCAACCTTGAAGTAATTACCACGTCTAAAGTAGCTTCTCTGAAGTGGGTAGCTGAGTAAACTACAAGAGGCTGGGAAAAGCAGAAGAAGTTGGTCCTTCCCTATCACAGTCATCCTTATACAGCAGTAAGAAAGTTAACTGTACCACTGTAATACAACTTTCAGGATGAACAATCTAATTCAGAAAGCAAATTGAATGATGCTTATCAAGGAAGTGAAAGGATATTTGTGGTTTCATTAAGTAATAGATGAAGTACTCTAGCAGAATTAGGTAAGAAGATAAGATGTTCAAGAAAGCACTTTTCTCTCTTTGTGAGCAGCATAAATAACATTAGATTTTAATCTTCCAATATATTTCAGGCTGCAGATCTCTGCTTAAATGATAATTCTTCTCACAAATCATGCCCCCTTCCCACAATAGGTCAAGAAATAGGAAGTCCAGGCAGTGTAGAGTAATGTGAGTAAAACTGTTTCCTAAGAGATTATTCTATACACTCCTGTTTCAGAAATATCAACAAACTGGGGTCCCAGTTACAGATCTTCATGAATTTCTAAAAAAATCCAACAATGAAAATTATGGCCTAGGACAGCAGACATCCATGAACATCTGTTGCTGTACGAGGTCAGTATTTTATTCCCCTGATTCATTATATATTTTTCCTGCATATACTTGAGTTCTCTTGTTATGGACTCTTTTATGAAACATAGCTGGAAACATGAATAGAATTTTTGACACCTTTCCCTTTTTTGTACTTATCATTGAAAAGCGACTTGAAATTTAGGAAATGAAGGAATCATAATTCTTTTTCCTGGGGAAGAATTCTGCTCTTAGGAGCAGTTAAGTTTGCTTCCATTATGGCATAAACGGAATTTTATATCATTGGTTGTATTTTTTTTACAAATTAATTAATAAATTAAAAACATGAAAAGTTTGTACCCATTCTGGAACAAATTATTTTCTGGGGTGAAGTTTATTATTTATCTTTACTTAATAAGTTTGTTGACAAGCAAGAAAGAGGTAACAGCTTTTCTATAACTGGATTTATGTGTAATGTTAATAGAGGATTTTTTTAAAAAAACAAAATCCCATGGTTAGCAACCTGGTTCCCATAAAGCTAAATAATATTGGATAGATTTTCAAGATGCATGAAGCATTAACAAAACGCTTTAGCAATGAAAGCATAGGACCTTAATTATATTCGGAGGTGGGGATTGCATTATTAGTCTTAATTCCGTAAACATCCCAATAACATTCCCAATTTTTTAAAAATTAAGATACTTTAAGAAAATTGAATTTTCAAGACTCAAGAATCCCATTTTCAGAAAGGTGATATTTCAAATACTTTTTACATTCTATGTATGGCAATAAAACCTAGATACTGACTGAGTTTGTATAAACCAGCGATTCTCAACCTGTGGGTCGCGACCCCATTTGGGGTCGAACGACCATTTCACGGGGGTCACCAAACACGCAGTCCGCCATTTTTTCCCCTTTTCCCTTAGCTGTGCTACTCCCTCTTATTCTGTTGGCTTTTGAAAGCCAATAGAATAGACTTTATTCAAGAGACTCTATTCTATTGGCATTTGAAAGCCAATAGAATAGACTCTCTTGAATAGAGTCTAATTCTATTGGCTTTCAAAAGCCAATAGGAATTGTCAAGGCTGTCTCTGCCCTGCTGAGCCCGCCAAAAGTCTCAGTCTGCAAATGGTGCTGCAAGTTGTCTGCAGCGAAGGCGAGCTGTCTGGACGTTTCCACCCCTCCCTGCTGAGCAACTACTAAATGTAAGTAAAAGAGGGGCAGAGTTTGGAGGTGGGAGGCCGGCGGGCGCAGGGAGGGTTGCTGGCACGCATGGGGCCCGATGGGTGCCTTACCTCCCTTGGGCTGGGCCAGCTGGTGGCCCAGCCGGTGGTTGCCCTGCGCCCTCGCTGCCGCGTGCCATGGCCGCCCAGGAGTGCCTGGGCCTGCCTGCCGCTGCACCGAACGTGCGGTGGCCAAGGTAAGGCTAGCAGGGAGGGTTGCTGGTGCGCGTGGGGCCTGGCGGGTGGCTTACTCCCTTGGGCTGGGCTAGCTGGTGGCCCAGCCGGTGGTCAGCCTGTGCTGTCGCTGCCGCTTGCCAGCTGCGCCTCAGCCAGCTCAGGGGGCGGCACCACGCATGCACGGCACTCCAGCCGCAGGAGAAGAGGCGGAGCGTGCGCACCTCCTGCCCCGCCCGCAGGGAAATACAAGTAGTCCTCGACTTACGACCACATGGTTGGGGGTCGCGGTATTAGGAAGGTTGAGAATCACTGGTATAAACAATTCTACACACAATTATTTCAAACTATTCAGTAAGCAAAAACTGCATTTGCAAGTTCATTCATAGACTTGGTCAGTAAAACAAGGAGAGCAGTCTCATGTTCATCTTGAATTAAATTTAGGTATTAGTTGAAGCATAAGTAGTATGAACAATAATTGCATAAAACCTGTACTCCGGCTCCTGATTATATTGTAGAATCTGTCATTGCACCTATTTGCATTATTCCCAAGGTAATCTAATAATGACAAGAGAAGAGGCTCAAACTTGTTTTTGTGACCATTAAAAGGATACAAAGAAGAAATATGCTGGCCCACTGAAGAAATCATAATGCTTTCAGTCAGCAAGTCAGCAAGTCTTTATGTTGTTGAAGAAAAAAGCAGGAACTATAGAAACCTAGCCAGGAAAAAGTTTGGTTTGAGAAAATGAATCACAAGAGATAGTAGGCTGAAATGGATGAGAATGAAGCCATTGGTGGGGAGAGTTGAAGAAAAAGCAAAGCAAAAGTAGGATGATGCAAACTTCAAAGATATCTATAATTAGCAGATATTCTGTGATTGAAACAGAAAACAAAGCAAAATATAAGTTTGCAAGTTTTTTACTCTGGGAAAAAAGATTTTTATTGTAACAGCTTCACAGAAGGAAAACAGCTGTGTCTTTTATAAACTCTCTGAGGACAGGGTATGACCATGTAGGAAAACAGCTAGCTAATGATGATGAAATAAACAAGATTTCAGGTAATAGAATTAGACATGCAATGAGTACAATTGCTGAATGCAGGAATATAGATTAAAGCAACTAGGGCAGATGGCGCTTCTGATCCATTCCTCTAAAAACTTCCTCAGTAACTGCTTCCTGTTCAATAATATTTCATTATTGCAGTATATATAACTTTTAGTACTTGACTTAGCCAAGTATTTTTAGGTCAAAATTGGACAGATGTGTAGACGTGACTGAAGTCTTATGTCATGATTTTGTTAATGGATTCTGATTTTGAATAGATATGGCCCACTGTGAAGATAAACAGCTTATGGAATATCTGCTATTTCAATTGAAGGCCTAGGAGAGGCTTATCATCTGCTGTATTCTCTAAGTAATTTAGATAAAATCACAGAGTTTGGGCTTTTCTTCTCGAATTACTTTTTTAAGGCACAGAATGGCAACCATTGGAAGTATGCAGCTGAGAAGAGGGATAAAGATGGCAAGGAAGGGCACATAAAGGCCAGTTATTATTTTGGAGAGGGATGGAAACCTACAGATCACTAATGCTAACATTTTGACTGGTCCACTCATACCTCCTGCCCACATTTTTTATTCCTTTGCTGATCTAAAATAATGAACTATTTCTTCTTTCTACAGGCGGAAAAGCGACAATAACCTTTTACTGATTAATTAAAAATGGTTGGCATGGCCCAAATTATCAACAAACTGCTGGAAGCTGGCCATCTTGACTTTATTGGAAACACTGTGTGTTCAAGTGTTTTCCACAAATTCATGATCTTAATGTAGTTCAAGGAAAAAAGCAGCAGGTTTTTTTGCAGTCAACAACGGGAAGATCAAAATTTGTAGTACAAGTGTTGGATGAACAATTTATAAATTAATTGCAATAGCTGATCTTAAGAAGAACATGCAGTGGGTTCTTGAATCTTAAGTAATTTTTACACGCTTTTCAATTGTAACTTGCTTTCTAAATATTTTTATATTAAAGTATTTAAATAAGACCTGCTTTTTGAATACAATGTTGTAATTTTTGGAGGCTGTAGTTCTTTTTTGGCTTGTTAGATATTTACAATGGAATACAGTCGGTTTTTCCTCAGAACATAATTTATTTGTTTAGTATTGCAACCCTCAGCTCTCTCCCTCTCTCATATATATATATTGTTCTGGTTTCAGGTTCATTAAGCTGACTTAAAATTGCCAGATGTTGAATGCTCATTTGATTATGTAAGCATTTTTCTCTCTAAAACCTCAGTATTAGTCAGTGCTGTTTTTATTTGTTTTGAATGTCCAGAATCCCCACCATTAGCCATTGAAATCTGATGCTGCAGTTCTGTGTCCCCTTAAACTTGAAGCCTCTGAAACTTTGCTCTTGAGTAAACAGTTGGCCAAACTGCTAGAGTAACTGAGGCATCATTTGCTAATGCATAGGATTTGATATTGGAAAAGCTACAGCTTATTCCTCAGATTAGGACAATATGATAAGAAAGTTTATTTGAGAAACCCTTACTAGCCATGGTTCATGCTGAAATACCTCTGAAAGAATGCGAGCCAACTATTGTCACTTTCTACATATTCATGGCCAAATAAGAATTTTGCCTGGCCAATATATATGCCTACAACATAATTAGACAAATGTATATCTGTTTTCACAGCAGAAAATAAATTGCTATTTTAGGCAACCAGAAATCCCAGTTAGTGAATGAAGTTGGCCAAGATTCTTGTGGGGAGAGAAAGGAAGAATAGCTGTTTTTTTTGTTATGGATGTTTTCTTTTACTTGTTCCCTCTTCTTGTGTTTGTCAAAGATACCCCAAAGGAGGGAAATTTTGGGGACAGAAGGAATATGGTGGATTGGAAAAGAAGAGACCAGAAATTTTCTAATGGTATTCTCTCATTATGTAATGTTAATGTGAGATACTGTTGCTGCTTCTACTACAACCAATTGATTCATTACGTATCACCAAGTTGGTGTTGATTATTAACAATGACATAGATACATTTTTTCCATAGTTATTTCCCTAAATTGGTTGTTCAGGTCTTCCATTGCTATTACTGTTTTGCCATGGGCTTTGAAAAGACAATTTTCCACATATGCTATCAATAGCCCCTGCTTTCTGGGCAGCTGCAGTTTATCTAGATGCTCGACACAACAACAGTTTGTAAATCAGGAAAATGGCCAAGATTGTACACAGACTTTCCGCTGACATTTACTGAAGCTAGCTAACACTTAAGAACACTTACAAAATTCTAAATAATTTTCAAATCCAAGGAATGTGGCTGTATACAGGCAATATTAATCTGTAGTGGTAAATTAGTGCATATTTAAATTATGGAATTTGTTGCCTTCTGTTGTGATGGTGATCATATATTTTGATGGCCTAGATGGCCTAGACAAATTAATAATAGCTAATAGTCTGATGGCTATACCTAAATATTAAGCAGCCTGTCTATCTTACAGAACAATAGTAATGGAAGGTATTGATTTCCTGTCCATTCTTACAAGCTTTAAAAAGTTTAAAAAGTTATTTAAAAAGTAACGTGGTGGCTGGGTTAATCAGTAGTTCGATAACAAAACCTTTAGTACAAATCTCAAGTTACAACATTAAATATTTCCTCTCTTTTTCCCTTAATATTTACTGTCTCGTATTTAAGCTAATACAGTTCTTATTATATCAACTCAGTAAAAACATCATTATTACATTTATCAATAAAATTTTAGCTTATATGTATCTTAATTATTTTTACATTCAATCTTCATAAACAATCCATATCCTATTATTAATTTTTTCCCAATTTTTAGTTTCCCATCAATATTCCAATTTAACCTTTGATATTTATAATTTTCAGGCTTTAGGTAACCAAGATTTCCTTTATCTCAATTCATAACAGAATCTAATATCCAAAATACACATTTTATCTATTTGAATATAATCTTATTCTATTTCTTAAATGTTATCTATTTCCCACCATATTAAATCATCTACTTAATAATACAATATCCCCTTTAATAAATCAAAACTATTATATATATTACCTGGGTTAATAAATCAATCAAACATGTTCATAATACTTAATTTTTTTTCTTTTAGGTCTAATTTTTAAATATTAAAAAGATAAAATCCTTATTTTCAACTAATTTCCAAATATTTTAAATCTAATGACCAGAATTCCCCTTATCTCAACTTCTCCCTTGAACTCTCTAATTAATAATATGAAATCTCCTCTAATAAATCAAACCCCCAATTTTTTTCAGCCTTATTCTGGCTTTCTTCCTTTGCCAACTAGGCTTCCATATCAGTGCTTTTAGATCATCAAATAGATCTCCCTCTACTATTATATATGTTATTTGAAATAAAGGAGACCATTTAATTGCATTTTTTTGGAAGGACTAGCCCATTTGTATTCATTAAGTTGTCTCCCTATTCCCCATTATTGCCCTGATATGTTTATCTTCCATTCAATCTGTTCTTCAATCTGTTCTTCAAATTCCTTCTGATTTATATATAAAGTCTTTTCCATTTTCAGTGTTGTCACTCCCTTTTCTGGATTTTCCATTAACTGTATTTGTTGGTCAGTTGAGTCCTCTGTCTTAATATTTGATTGTTCCACTTCTTCTGTTATCTTCTGCGTTGTTAGTTCTTTGATTATAGTCAAAGTTTGGGTTTGTGAATCTAAGCTGGTGTCTTGATCTATTATGTTAGGTCTTATTTTATCACAAGCTGAAAGAATGGTTTCATATATTGCTTTCAACATGGAAAGGATCTTTTCCTGGTCCTCATCCATCTCTTTCACATGTTTATAAATAGTCTTTATAGTAGAAATTGTTTGTAAAGCAAGATTTTATAGTCCAAGATATTTCATCATCTCATATAGTAACCAATATTCCTTAAATAAAGAGATAGGAAGGTAATTCCCCACATATAACCCCGAAAGCCAGTAAAGGTTTACATTCACAGTTCAAGTAGGCCAGTTATGCCGCCCAGCTGTTCTTTTACAGCTGAGTTTCTCACAGGTGGTGCCAAGGCCAGAAGAGTCTTATCTAAGGTCTGGGCTTCGAGCCAAGTCTCTTTTAGGAAATAACAAGTTGTAATACCAAACTTTGCCACAAGATGTCACTGATGCCGTTTAAGGTTTTTTAAGTCCAAAATTTTTATAATCCTTTTTCCAATTTTATTTTTTGTAGATAAAAACAAAAGTCTCTAATAAAAATAGGAAAAATTTTGGTCCCCAAGTTTCAGGAACATGTAAATCCAATTAGATTAAAGTTGTTCTTTTAGTGCTTTAATTCCCCTGGGCAGTCAGTCACCGCTATTCTTAGACGGTAGGATAGAAATTCCCTTTCCTCTCTCCTCACATGGGGAAAGATACTTCAGGCAGCTTTTACAGGAAAAGAAAGTACTTAGGGTAAAGAGAAGATTGGATCTCACTCAATTTCATCTGTGTTGCTTTCAAAGGGCTTGGTGGTAAGTTTGACTTCGGCTGTCTGCAGCCTTGTGATGGGCCATATTACTATGGCCGGTCTTTCCTCAACCGGTTTGGAGGGCTGACCCGGATTGAGCAGAAGGACTGCTGCCCTCCTGCGATCAAGCGGGGGTCCACTCCTTGCTTGTCGCCCCTACAGGGTGACTTTTGACCCTTTCCAGGGTCCCCCAGTGGAGTGAAACCGAACGCGGAAAATGGAACTCGCCTTTAGGTGTCCGCGGCAGCCGCAATGGCAAACTAGAAGTCCCATTCTTACAAGCTTCTTGAAGTGCCTAGATAGAGGAGTCTGAAAGCTACTTTTATCACCTTTTGTTTTTTTCCATGAACAATGAATCAAGATTTACTTTTTGATACAATTTAAAATGTATCAAACATATTCCATCAAACATGGAATAAGAAACAAATAGGAGATATGTCACTAGAAAACAATGAAAATCTGTAAAAGACAATACATCTCTGATGAAGAATAGGCACAGTTCTTCTAAATTATGATTAAAGTGATTAAATCATGTTAAATGGTATATCAGAAGCTAAACCAAAGAATGAGTGGCAAAAGGTATATTAGCTTAAATTTCATATATACTGTGTGTTTGTGTGTCTGTCTCTGTGTATATACAGTGTATGTATGTATGTACGTATGTATGTAGTCATTTTATAATTCCAATCACTGCTGTGTTCTCAGTGTTCTCTTAACTTTTAAGTACTTTTAAGTAAAATATATTAATATTTTAATGAAATATTCAGCTACTTTTAGGCTCAGTATGTCAAAATTGCAGATAAATGTTTGGGAAGTTAAGAAAGGACAGTCTGCAGAGGAAATGTTTTAATATCAGCTAAGGAAATTGTGGTTTTTTAGGCAGAAACTCAGGGGAAGTACTTAGAGTTAGAAGAAATCAACACATCCCCATAGTTTCCAGAAAAAAGAAGCCTCTTTTTTGTCAGCATTTCTATAATTAGTTCTGTGTTCCTTAGTGACATAGGTGTGATGTCTCATGAATTGGTAGATCCCCGTGCTTCAGATGACAGCTCCAAATTGCATTTGTTGCCACTACATTGGATTATTGTTCTGGAGCAGTACAGTATTAAGCAAACAAATTTTTACTGATGTTTTTGAGTCTGTAATACTAAATTGGACTTTTTGAATAACCAAATTATAAGTTTGCCTATTCCAAATGTTTTGTTCTTGGCACCAAAACCATCTTACTGGGTTACCTACAGTAGTTTCTACACTTTTCATCCGATACCCTTGCGATTCTTTTTTTAATGTTATAATATTAAAAACTTTATTTTACAATAAAGTAAAATACATTATCCTCAGTTCACGCACAGTCCTTGACATCAGAGCTAATATCAAAACTAATGCCACATTTGAAAATGGCAGAAATTATTTGTGTCTACATTCCAATAAAGCTATTTGATAAAGTTAATATCAGAACAGTTACTCTAAATGTTTTAAAAGAACAGCAGTGTAAATTTTGAACATTTTTATCTGTTCAAACATTTTATCTGTTTTTATGTGATCTAAT